TCTGTTTATGCATAGCCTGAATGGTTGGTATCTGTTTTCTGTAGTGCCTTACAGTATTTTTTTCTACCACCAAAAGCTTGTTCATGATTCATATCTTATACTGGAGGAATGTTAATCTGAGTATTCCAGTGTTGTAATGGATCATGACCCCAAAGATTTATTGTGATGTCTGTGACATATGGCCTCAGTCTTCCTCTTTGTCCATTCGGCCCTATATACTTAACCAATCTTGTGCTTTGTTTTACTTGAGATGGTTCCAATCCCTCAGAATTGAATGTTTACCTCTTGTAGGGGCCACCTTGGAAGCTAAGAATTTTGAGTTATGATAGTTACATCAGTTCCAGTGTCCAAAATGCTAACAATTCATCCTAACTTTTAATTTAGGTCTCTGATCCTGTATAGAAGTTTGCCAAGGGCTGGAAAGATGGCTCAGAGGTTAAGAGCACTGACTGTTCTTCCATAGGTCCTGAGTTCAGTTCCCAGCAACCACATAGTGACTCACAACCATCTGTAATGAGACCTGATGCCCTCTTCTGTCCTGGGCAGAACACTATATACATAATAAATAAATAATTAAAAAAAAAAAGAAATTTGCCAAAATACGTTTTTTGTTTCCTTCAATTACGTTGATTCATCCTCAGGAGCTAATCTATCATCCAGTGTGGTATTATTCTTTACAATAGGCAGTGAATCGCCTAATCGTCCTGGGAGGGATTGTCCTCCACAGTGATTGGGAATAACTGGACCTCTTGACGTGGGGCCTTTGAGAGCCCCTCCAAGGAGTTTCCTGATAGTAAAGGGTTACCTTGTTTGTCTCTGGTCGATCTGCATTCATTGTTCCAGTGTTGACCTTTGCCATATCTTCTATATAATCCAGAAGGCTGAGGCCTTGTGTTTGAGTCATCCCTAAGAGGAGCATTATTTCTAGGAATACTTTACCTGCAATTTCTTCTTAGATTCTACCACAGTTAAAACATCTAGTGTTTCCATGTCTTTTTAAGCCTTTGGAGACTGCTTCTGCTACCCAACCTTCTGTGTCAAAATTTTATACTCAATGCTGACTGTATACAAAACCCATTCATCCAATGGTGTTGATGTGATATTTAGGGGCAAAAGTACCTGTTTGCATTGTGGATTCACATTCACATAAGCTAGAGAGTCTATGAGTATTCGCCTAGAATCTGAATCAGTTACCTGTGATTCTACTACTTGGACAATCTTTGTAACAATTCAGTGACCGTTCTCTTGGTCCCTGTACCACTTTAGTATAGGATTCTATTCTGTCTCCTGATTCATGAAACTTATCCCAACCATTCAAGGCTGCTGTACGGCATAAAGACAAGATGGGTTCATCTTATGCAGCTTGAGTCTGTGTGTCAGCATAAAGATGCTCACCAAGAATCTTATCTTGGGGAGCTTCATAATCTTTCTTTAATCCTTGAAGCTCAAGGGCTTTTGCTTCTTCCCTCCATAAAGCCCTCCATTGTATTTGAGAAGAATTCGCAAACACCATTGATATTATTTCGTCCCAGTCCTTAGGGGTCACCGTATTTGTGCTTGCCCATGAGTTCAGTAACTCTCTGACATGGTGAATGCACACCATAAGAGGTAACAGTCTCCTTAATTCCTTTGAAATCTTTTAGTTGCACTGGCTCCCACTGATATGCAACAAAGTCATTTGGGTGATTTTTGTTGCTGGTTTTTCAGTCATAGACTGGGAAAACCTGAGGAAGCTCTTCCTGGCATCTGAAACCTCTTTCATGACCTGTTGTTTGTATCTCTGATTCTGATGTATCAGATTGAAGTGTGTGAACTTCTTGGCTCAAATAAATTTCTAAGAACTTCACAGAATTGGTCAGTTTTTTTTTGGATTCATAATTTATACACAATTCCAAACATTTACTATTCTCATCCTTAGATATTATCTGAATGGCATGTAAGTTGCCTTCCAGAAACAGTGTTCTATCAGCTAGCTGGTCAGTATCCCCAAACATGAAACATTTTTTTTTTTCCTGTAAGTTTTCCAATCTGAAGTTCCAGTCTTCGAGTTTTATTAATTGAGTCATCAGACATGGCACAAGTTGTTTCTGTTAGCCTGGTAATGACATCTTGCATTGTTACTATTTTGGTCATTAATGTAGGAGTCATGGAACAGATCCTGTCTTCTAATTGGCCACTTTTACCTTCTACATCGCCCACTCTGTTGGTCATTTCCCCATTGTCCTCAATATTCTGAATTTTTCTCTCTAATTTACCAATAGTTTGTACACACTTCCTTGTCCTTTGCTTTACTATGAAACCCTCTCTTCCAGGATATTATATGGATTATGAAGCTAGTTGTTAGCATTAGATATAGACATATTTTTGGGCAGGTCATATTCCTCTCCCAGAATGTCATCCATATAAGAAGCAAAATGATCCCTAGCATTCTGCATCATAAGGTTAACTGCCATTGGTATATAGTAGTTAATCTTAATTATTATTACCGGCTGAAAATACATAAATACAATGCTGACCTTCAGCAATTTTGTAGTCTCAGGCTGAGGTGTGGATTTTTACTTGCAGTAATTATGTTTGGCCAGCAGGTGATGCAGGTGTACCGCCAAACACAGTTCTGTTGCGAAAGATCTGTTCCAAATAGTACAGGAAAAATTTTGAATAGCTTTTACAAAAGTTTAGCGAGCAGGATTTTGTTAAAAGGAAGGAAAAATATCCCCACGTAATTGCGGGAACCTGCAGGGAGGAAGGGGAGCCGAGTTCCGCAGGCTACCAGTAAAGGGACCAGGCTAGTGCCTGGTGGGAGTCTGCTTCTGAGACAGTAGAGGCCTTCTGGGTTCCTGGAGCAGTGGTCGCAGGTTGTAGTTCGGCTGCATAGTGGACTGTGTATTGGGTGCAGCACGCTTGTCACCAGACCCTCAATGCTGGCAGAGGGAGCTGATGCTGCAGGGAGCTGTTGATTTGCAGAGATAGGCAGCACCGGTTCTGGCTGGGCTATGAAGCCCTGGCCATGGTGAGCGTTGGTGGCCTCAAGTATGGAAATGCAGCTGAGCGAAAATCGCAGGGCAGGGCCGAAGTGGCTTTGGCGACTTTGGGGCGGCCCCAGAAGCGGTGGTGACTTCACAGCGGCTTCTGGGGGCTGGCTGAGGTGGCGGCTTTTGGGATGCTCATCCTGCAAGCACTCCAGAAACCAGCTGTTAAGGAAAAGTAATAGTACACAGAATAATGGTATTGTTCGTTATTTATTGTGAGAAAATACATGAGAAATCAGGTTAGTGTCTGCAGCCTTTGGTGACCCGACTGGAACCATGAAAAAGAGGGCAAGTGCCTCTATCCGCAGCCTTTTATTTCACAGGCCCACGCACACCCGTAGCCATGCCCAAAATGGGTGTGGTCAGTGGCACAGGTACCTAGGTCTCTCCCTACAGCGGACCACTTCTTTGTTTAAATGATGTTGTCATTGGCTGTATGGAATCTTTTTAGTTTCCTGAGGTTCTATTTATTGTTAGTCTTAATGCCCGTGCTATCAGTGTCCTATCCAGAAAGTCCTTTACTGTGCAATGAGTTTGACTGTATTCACACTTTCTTTTCTATCAGTACAAGGTAATCTTATGTTAACATCCTTGATCCACTTGGAGTTGCATTTTGTGTAGAATGAGAGATGAGGCCAAGTTTCATTCTGCTCTATGCAGTTGTCCAGTTTGATTGGCACCATTTGTTGGAGATACTGTCTTTTCTCCAGTGTGTATTTTTTGTCTTCTTCATCAAGAATTAGGATTGTATGATTTTATCTGAGTCTTCCATTCTCTACTAGTTATCAGTGTGTTTGTTTCTATGCCAGGGCCATGCTGTGGTTATTATTATAACTCTGTGGTATAACTTGAGGTTAGATATGGAGATCTTTCCAGCAGTGTTTTATTGCTCAGATTGTTTTTGCTCGATCATTTGTGTTTCCTTACCAGTTTTGAAATGATTATTTTCAGTTTGTGTGAAGAATTGTGTTGGGAATTACATTTAATTTGTAGACTGCTTTTGGAAGGATGGCCATTTGACAATGTTAATCCTACCAATTTATGAGTATGGAAGGTTATTCCATCTTCTGGTATCTTCAATTTTTTCCTTTAGTGTTTTAAAGATTTTTTTTTTTTTTTTGGTTTTTTGAGACAGGGTTTCTCTAGCTTTGGCGGCTGTCCTGGAATTAGCTTTTGTAGACCAGGCTGGTCTTGAACTCACAGAGATCTGCCTGCCTCTGCCTCCCGAGTGCTGGGATTAAAGGCTTGTGCCACCAACGCCCAGCCCAGCTTTGTTTTAAAGATTTTATTATACAGGTCTTTCATTTGTTTGGTTATAAGGCATATATATTTATGTCTTAGAATAACTATATTTTGAATATACAGTTTTTAGAATATATATTTAGAGTATATATATGTACATATATATAATTTGAGGCAGTTGTGAAAAGTACTGTTTCCCTGATTTCTTTCTCAATATGTTTATCATTTGTATATAGGAAGTCTATGGATTTTAATGTCAATTTTGTATATAGCTACTTTACTGGGTCTTTTATGTATCAAATCGTATCATCTTTTTGTTTTTTTGTTTTGCTTTGTTTTGTTTTGTTTTGTTTTCGAGACAGGGTTTCTCTGTGTAGCTTTGGAGCCAATCTTGGCACTCGCTCTGTAGACCAGGCTTGCCTCAAACTCACAGAGATCCAACTGCCTCTACCTCCCAAGTGCTGGTATTAAAGCCGTGCGCCACCAACGCCCAGCCAAATTGTTTCGTCTTAACAGTAGCATCTGTTGACAGTCAGAAGGCATGGGAACATCTTTCTTTGTGTAGATAAATAGTAGAGAATGGCCATTGCTCGCAGGTCATCATTGGTGCTCAACAGCACAATCCCTTACTCTTACAGTACTTTAAGAGCTATTTTTAAGTACTGCTCTGTATCAGTTTATTAGAATTTAAAAGTTACTAATAGCATCATTTTAATAATTTCCTACCAGGCATGGATGGGCAGAAGCCTTTGCAGGAATCAGAAGTTCCCACATCAAATACATCTGTCCACATGCGTGAGTATTTCTAATATTTTAGGTTTTTTTCTTCAGACTCTAGATCAAATTATAATAGCTTTGTTTTTCCAGAAAAATACATGAATGTAGTTGTTTCTCTCTTAGGTTAAAAAAGACTAGTAACACTCCTTAAAGCTAAAATTTTTTTTGGTAAGATTGAAAAAAAAATCCTTTGTTGAAATTTAAGATATTCTTCTAGAGGTCAGATAAACTTAAAGCCACAAAAATTCTTTTAGATATGTAAGTACTTGCAGAGTTGCAAAGATACCATGTGTTGTCTATAAATGAGTTACGAGCTAGATTTGTGAAAAATTTTGTCATTCAAGAAATTTTGGTTTTATTAATTAGAATCAATGTGATATACTGTCATAGGCAGAGTCTTAGCACCTGGTTCTAAAAATGTTTGCTAGTGTCAAGGAGCTAGCAAGTTTTGAGCAAGCTCTGAAATCACTAATTTGGCTAATTTGAGGTGAAAGGTTGCTAAGAACAGCCTGGGGGAAGCTAAAAACATTGGATCCATGCTAGTAGGTTAGTGCTTACACTTCAGAAATGACAACAGGACAGTTGAGATGACTATGGAAAAGGGAATAAAGTCTGGGATTTCCTTGTCTGGAGACAGAGCCTCTGACTTACCTCTGTAGGCTGCAGCTGGATGCTTTAGTTAGTGTGGACGACCCAACCAAGAGACAGGATTCATGACTATTTGAATTTCCACTATATTTGCCCCTAAATTTGCCCTAAGGCTGTTTCCTAATCTGGGGAAATTTATGTTTTTTTTATAAAATGTTGAATTGATTTGTTGTATGAAACCGGAGGAGGTTGGCATTGGTAAGAGTATATTCATGTTCTTTCCTCTTGTATCTGGCTTTTTTGATTGCTCAGCCTATTTATCATTCCAGATTTGAGTTAGACACAATGAACACTAGGGTAGAACTTACATTTATTTATAGGTCTCTTAATGAAGCAGGTATGTAACTAGGAAATAAGCAAAATGTAATCCAGGCATATGGGGATTGGTGTACAGTAGCTAGCAATAAATTGCTCTTACCAGAGTCTCCTTGTATATATATTTCCAGTTGTCTCAGTTCTTAGAAGTTAGTTATTAAGAAAAGCCGTTGAGACAAAATGTACTTGCTATGAGCTAAATTTAGTCCTCAGCCACTAATCCTCTGCTACAGCTGTTTTGTCTTCAGAAAAGAGTTGTGGGACAAAAGGAACAGCTGTGCAGACAAAGGTGTGACATGTACTACATATTAAAGCCATAATGTGATACTTGACTCTGTTAACCTGATGTGCTGTTTCTTTCTTTCCCACATAGGCCTGTTATGCCTGTTACATTAAATATGAATATGGCTATGCCTTCTTGGTAAGTAAAAGTTTACTTTCTCATTAAGAACCTTTTAGTCAACTGGGCAGTGCTGGCACACACCTTTAGTCCCAGCATTCAGGAGGGAGAGGCTGGTGGATCTTTATCAGTTCCGGGCCAGTCTGGTCTACATAGTGAGGTCCAGGACAGCCAAGGCTACATAGAAAAACTCTATCTCAGAAAACAAACAACAACAAAAATTTTAATCTTTTCAGAAGAGCTCTTGTGTACATGTGTGTTTTTTGTTTTCTTTAGATATTTTTAAACTGCAAGAGAACTATTAAGCTTAACTTTTATTCTAGTATTCATGCTTTATTAAGTTAACTGTGGCTGGCGTTGGTGGCACACGCCTTTAATCCCAGCACTTGGGAGGCAGGGGCAGGTGGATCTCTGTGAGTTCAAGGCCAGCCTGGTCTATAAGAGCTAGTGCCAGGACAGCCTCCAAAACAATGCATAGAAACCCTTTCTCGGAAAAAAAAAAAAAGGTAACTGTGTTAACTAAGAAGCTGTACAAAAGATAGAAAAACAAGAGTGAGTAATAAAGAGAAGTCTGTCCCGCTGCTTGGTGTTTGTTGGGTACATTAGCCAAACATCTGAACATGAGACAGGCATACTTGATTATACCACAGCCTCTTTGTTCTGCCAACTGCTTGCCTTCCTGGCTGGCTGGTTTGATGTCCTCTCAAGATTTCTGTCATACCCTTCACAGTCAGAATAGTTAGTATTCCAATTTCTCTACAGATTAACTTGAAGTTATCTGCTAAGTATGAACTTTTAGACTCTAATAGTTCTTTTCTCATGGCCTTATTTTCCAGGTTTGATATTATTGGACTTTCACCAGATTCTCAGGAGGATGAATCTGGAATTAAACAGGCAGCAGAAAATGGTGAGTACCAAAAGTGGAGGCAAACACATTCATGAATGTTTTTAGTAGATTCACTAGTTAAATTTGATTAAATGTGACATAGATTTGTGTTTTCAGGACCTAATCCATTACTTCATCCCTTTCTCTTCCTTCTTTCCTTCCCCTTCCTTTTTTCCTCTTCCTCTCCTGTTGCTGGAGTTTCTTTCCTGCCTTGTCTCACAGCTGTTAGCCCCAAATAAACACACAAAGACTTATCTTAATTATTAAACTGTTGCCCAATGGCTAGGGCTTCCTATTGTGTAGCTCTGTCTTAATTATTAACCCATTTCTATTAATCTGTTTATTTCCACATGGTCTTGGCTTACCAGAGAATGCCCAGACCTGTTACTCCTTTGGCGGCTCCATGGCATCTTTTTGAAGTGCCCCTCTGCCTCTCTCCTCAGCATTCTCCTTGTCTCCTAGCCCTGCCTATCTTCCTGCCTCTATTGGCAAAAAGTGTTTATTCATCAACCAATAAGAGAAACATATACAGAAGGACATCCTCTATCACCTTTGCCATGCTGGAGACTAACCTAGAATCTCACAAAAAATAGACAAGCATACAGTGTTCATTTTGATTACTCTGCTTATCTATAGTCAGTGACAGCCTTGTCACCACACTTACATACACTCTCTTATCTATAGTCAGTGGCAGCCACGTAGATGGGAAGGAGCAGCATTTATATATGTAAACCTGAGTTCTGCTGGGTAGACATTTTGTTTTGATTGACATAACCAAGGCTGAGCATTGTGGTGCCTATCTATAATCCCAGCTCTTGGGAGGCTGAGGCAAGAGGATGGCTGTGAGACATAGCCATCCTGGATTGCACAGCAAACCCTGTCTCAAAACAAAAATAGACACTGAAGAAAAAGTGCTTTGCTTAATAGTTGTATATTAAAGAGACCTGAAGTAATGATAATGACATGAAGATAACTAACAGTAAAAGTGATATGAATGGTTAATATTAGTGAAGTAATGATAGATACCACTGATTTATCACTTAACTCCTTGCTAGCTAGCCATTTCTTATAAATTGGCTCATTTAACACTCCTGTGAATTTAGTACTCCATTCTCCATTATAAGTACTGTTTTGTGAGTGAAAACAAAAACAAGAAACTTTTCTTTTATGTGCATGTTGGAGTTAGAACATCTTTGGGTTTTTCATATAATGCAGTGACTGGCAATGACTTTAGAATAGTCTTATGTGGTGACTTCTGTTTATGGGCCACATTAGAAGAAACCAGCCCAGGACTGCAGAGTCATGGAGCTATGTATATGAGCTGCTCTTTATACTTTTATGTTTGTTTGAAGTTTTCCAAAATAGATGAAGGATTTTCTTATTCTTTTAAAAAACATCTTGAAGGCTTTGAGATATAGAAAATATATCCAAAACACATGAACTCTCTTGGAATGTGAAACTTTGCCCAGGGCTTTTTAGATTGTCAGTATGTATATAAATGCCAGAATCCTAGAGCTAAGGTTTTTGTCTTAATATCAAATGGGAAATTTATTTATTTATTTGGGCAAAACTGCATTAAAATCTGTGGAAGATGGAAGAGTTATCCTGGTTAGTAAGCCCCTGAGTAAAAGATTCTCTCTTAACAGTAGTTACTTCTTTCCTCTCAAATGAATATTGAAGAGAATGAAGGTCAGAGTTGGCTAGGAAGAAAAGGATAGCGAGGATATCTACTAAATAAACTCTGGGAAGGGCATCATGCCTATGCTCTTAGAATGTGACTGAATTTAGAATCTACTGCTCTACAAGTGACTGCTTTCACTGTGGTTTGTTAAAACATTTTGTTTTATACCGTGTAGATTATACCATCAGTTGGTGAAATCTAGAAAGTAACGCTAAATTGTCTCAGGCTCCTGGGCTGGATGGAGTTGACATTCTTCAAGCCCACAGCTGCCACACCCTTCCTGACAGCTGGGCTGTCTGCCCCTCTGCTCATTTGTCTCAGTAGTTCTTTCATTTCCTGCTGTCAAACCCACGGTCACATGCTGTTCACACTAGTGAGACTGCCTTTTCTTTTTCATATAAACTTTAAGAACTAATTTTAAGCAACTAATTTTTGTTTGTTTGTTTTGAGACAGGGCTGTCCTAGAACTCACTCTGTAGACCAGACTGGCCTTGAACTCACAGAGATTTGCCCGCCTCTGCCTCCCTAGTGCTGGGATTAAAGGCTTGAGCCACTTTGCCCAGCTTAAACTTTCAATAAACTAAAACTAATATTAAATTTGGACGTGGCTGTCTATAACTGCAGTTCTAGGGATTCTAACACCCCCTTCTGGACTCTGGACCAGGCACACACAGGTACACACACAATATCAAGTGACTCCCTCATCATTTACTGTTTCTGTTTAAACAGAAATTCTAATCATTTGAATTATAAGAAAAAGTAATGCAACAGTTTTTAAAAATATGACTAATGGCGTTTGACACTGTAAGTCACAAATTACATAATCTTTAAACATATTCCATTTTAAAATGACAAGTTTTACCTAATTTCTGTTTGGTTTATTGGACAGAAATGTAAAAAGTATACTTGAACTAACCATAAATAAAAGGAAATACAGCTGTCTGTGGAGAGAAGCTGTGTGACAAAGTTAGAGGAGTGTTAAGCTCAGCAGCCCCCAGGGAGCCTGAGGAGTCACATACATGCCACTTTGTGTTTTTAAATAGAATGCTTTGAGTTTTTATTCATTTCTGTCTTTAATATTCTCTGCTTCTGATATTTTCCTCATATTTTTAGTTATCAGTGGCTTAACTCTGGAAGTATTTATGATGCTTTTCTTGTTTCTAGTAAAAGCTTTGATAGATCAAGAAGTGAAGAATGGCATTCCCTCTAACAGAATTATTTTGGGAGGATTTTCTCAGGTAAGCATGATTGGCTTGTCCCTATCATCAGCATATTGATCTTTAAGTCTACCTTCAGTTCTTTTTTTTTTTTTTTTTGCTAGAGTTCCTTGTTTGGAACTGTTACAGAATCTTAGATGAAATAGCTGCTGAGTTAAAGTTGAATTGGATGGACAATTTCTGCCTCCTAGAGTTCATTTATTTATTTTCTAATTTCTCATTACAGTCATGTTTTTCTTTTAGATTGCCTTCAGATAGCCTGGTGTGGTGGGACACACCTTTTAATCCCAGCACTCAGGAGGCAGAGGCAGGTACATCTCTGTGAGTTTGAGGCCAGCCTGGTCTACAGAGTGAGTTTCAGGACAGTCCCAAGGCTGTTACAGAGAGAAAGAGAAACTGTCTTGGAAAGACATACACACAGACACATGAAAGATTGCTTTCAAAGTTGATTCATTAAAAACTGATTGGAACCTCAAATGTACTTTGTTTTTCTTGTTTTGTTTTTTGAGACAGGGTCTTTCTATATAGTCCTGTCTGTCCTAGAAGTCGAGCTGTAGACCCGGCTGGCCTCAGACTTACAGAGATCCACTTGGCTCCTGGAATAAAAGGCATACACCATCATCGCCCAGCTAGAATATACTTTCTTAATGTAACCACAATACACTAATTAGGCTTCTTTGAGTGAAACAGGATTATAAGAGAACAGGTGTTAAGTGCCTAGGTTTTTAAGATATAAGTACAGTATTACTTGGGTTTCTTTCTTCAGCTTTGGTCTAACGTCTCCATGTCTAGCGTCTTTAACACCCTTCTTAGTTGTTTTATGGTATTTGTGATTGGCCTAGGTCCTACACAAGCTGAAGAAGAAGCTCTTTATCACTAAGTTATATCCCCACCCTGAACTTAGATTTTTACTTGCCAGTTTCCAAGTAACCTGTCCCCAGAATGCTCTAGCTTCTAATCTCCTAATCAATAACTATGTGAAAATGTCAGTTGAGATAATAAAACTCAATGGAATGTGGGAATGTGGTTAATATACATTAAAAAAAGATGTTACTGGTGGGACTAGAAGAGTTGGGGCAGTGCTTAAGAGCACTTACACTTCCAGAGGACCCAGGTTCAATTCCCTGGCAGTTCACAACTGTCTGTAACTCTAGCTGCAGGGGATCTGACACCCATATGCACACAAAACAGCAATGCATGTCTTTAATTCCAGCACTCAGGAGGCAGAGGCAGGCTCATCTCTGAGTTCAAGACCAGCCTTGTTTACAGAGCAAGATCCAGAACAGCCAGAGGTACACAGAGAAACTCTGTTTTGAAAAGCAAAAGAAGAAAAAGGACTTTAAATAAAAAGGTGTTACTGATATGTGGCCTTTGTCTAGATAATACAAAATACACATACCCACATAAGCCAAAGACCAGAAATTAATGCTTTATTTAAAGTATAATGAGTACATAGTTATGTTATTTGATACTGATTACAGCCTACAGAAACTAATTCCTAGGACTGGGGACATGCATCAGGCAGTATAGCGCTTATCACACAACCATGAGGTGCCAAGTTTGGATCCCCAGAACCTGTGTGAAAAACTGAGTGTGATGGCAAACTTCCTTACGCTGGTGCTGGGAAGCGGCAACAGACAGATCCCTGTGCTACCTGGCCTCTCGGCCTTGAGTAATCCCAGCTTCAGTCAGAGACCTGAGACCATGCCTCAGAACGGAGATGGAGAACAACTGCAAGACACCTGACCTCAACCTCTGACTGCCACACTAACACTCCATGCACCTAAGGGAACCCATTACAGATATTTAAGTGATAAGTTACTTGTAAGTCTGTGCTATCATTATGTCAAGGGAACTGAAAGTAAAACTACACTGCAGGAAATAGGTAGTACTTGGCAAGCCATCAGGACTTTCTTTTCTTCATGGTTATTTCTTTATTCTCTTTATTTGCCTTTCCACCAACTGTTGACCATATTCACTTTAACAGCTCTAGGGTTTATATGGTTGCATTTTCAACCACATAAACATGACCTGAAAGTAACTGCATTTCAATCTCACAGTCATGAGAGACAGAATATCACTGCCTGGGATCAGAATGTTTCTCATGTGCCTATTGGGTATGGGCATGGCCAGATTATGGCATCTAGGTGGCTAACACCATTAGAGTTCCCAACACACAGCATGTTGTGAGCTAGGTGGGCAAACCTCTAAAGGTTTCTGGCATTCCACCTATATTATCTTAAATCCCTCTTTTGGAAAAATAACTTAAATCTCATTTGGAGCCTGGCATTGGTGGTGCACGCTTTTAATCCCAGCACTCGGGAGGCAGAGGCAGGCTGATCTCTGTGAGTTCGACACCATCCTGGTCTACAGAGCAAGTTCCAGGATAGCCTCCAAAACAATACAGAGAAACCCTGTCTCAAAAAACCAAAAAAAAAAAAAATCTCATTTGGAGTTTATGTCTAAGACTTTTCAGAGAGGAAAATGAGAATCATACATTCAGACTGTTCTAAAGCCATGTTGTAAGTGGAGATTTTTGGAGGTAGAGATTCATCCATTATGAGTATATGTTTTCATTCTTTACCAGGTTTGATTTTTTTTTCTCTCTCTCTCTCTCTTTGGTTCTTTAAGATATGGTTTCTTTGTGTAGCCCTGGCTGTCCTGGAACTCATTATAAACCAGACTGGCCTCATACTCAGATCCACCTGCCTCTGCCTCCCAAGTGTACCACCACACCCGGCTTACCTGGTTTGACTTAACACAGTATATTTTCTTATGGACATTACAGTAAGAATCCTCTCACGTGCTTTGGGCAGAGCTGTGCTCCGGCTAACTCCCTGCTTCTGTTCCAGGGAGGCGCTCTATCTTTATATACTGCTCTCACCACACAGCAGAAACTGGCCGGCGTCACCGCACTCAGTTGCTGGCTTCCACTTCGGGCTTCGTTTCCACAGGTAGCTTACATGGTGTGAGTAAATGAGATTGCAGAGCTAGAAGATAGCAGATAATGTTTAGAAGCAAGTCATTTTTCTTGTAATTAATGAGCTGTTCATATTTTTTAGAAGTTTTAGGTTTATAGAAAATGGAGTGGAAAATAAAGGGTCTTCCTTTCAGCTCCACACAGCCTCCCTTATGGTAGACATCCCACACTACAGTGGTTCCTTTGCTTCAGTTGATGAGCCAACACTAGACACGATTACTACCCAAAGTTCATGGCTTACATCAGTCATCTTATTTCTAAAGTACTTCTTTAGACCTTTGGTGTATTACTACAAGTGTATATAAAATCTGTGTATCCTTCCTGTAGTTTATATGGGTAGAATAAGAAGCTTACTGTCTTTACAGTTAATCATTTGGTACATTTTAAGATACATATTAACGCATACATTTTAGCTCAAATTTTAAATGTTTAATATAGTCATTTTACTACAGAATTTTACTATGGAATTGTAAATTATTTTAACACTGGCATAATATGTTATGTACCATAAAAATTGTGGAGATTATTTTCAGATTCTTTATTTTACTTTACTTTTTGTTTTCAGTGCTAGGGATTAATCCTAGTGCCTTGGACATGCTAATTAAGTACATTAGTGCTGTGTTCAAGTTGCTGTTATGTTTTCTCTTGACAGTATATAGACCAGGCTGACCTGAAATCTGTGGCCCTTACTCCAGCCTCTCAGATGCTAGGATTGCAGGTGTACTAATTTGTTACACTCAATTCACATTCTATTTCAGAGTTCAGTCTTTTTCCCATGTAGCAACTTTTCAGTGTACTGTACATAATAGATTGTTAACTCTTCTATTTAACTCAGTTATGAAGTTGAGGGGAACATAACTTACCTAATGTGTGCTAATAGTTATTGTTTTATTTTCAAATATGAATGTAATTGGCTTGGAAACGTATTATAATACATGGCAAAATAATCTTGTATCCCATAGAAGTTTAAATCAAAGATGTTGGGGGTACATAAAGATAGAGGGTTTACTTGACCAAAACATGTGACTGAATTATGACTAATAGTATATGCATGTATATGTGTGTGTGTATGTGTATATATATATATATATATGTATATATTTTTTTTTATTAGGAGTCTGGCACAGTGCCTTATATATTTGTTAAATAACATTCCTTTATATTTGTTTTGCAGGGTCCTATCAATAGCACTAATAAAGATATTTCTATTCTCCAGTGCCATGGAGATTGTGACCCTTTAGTTCCCCTAATGTTTGGTTCTCTTACTGTTGAAAAACTAAAATCATTGGTAAATCCGTCCAATGTAACCTTCAAAATCTATGAAGGCATGATGCACAGCTCATGTCAGCAGGTAAGTGTCTGGACACAATGAATATAGCCACTACTTTAACATCTTCCATGTTTTATTTTCAAGATAAGTAACACTTGGATATTGATGATTTAAAATAATTCATAATTGAACCAATGTAACACAATTTTCATTATATCTTATTCAATTAAAATTTTAAAATCTGATGAGTAATATATATAATCTCAAGACGAATTTATAAACCTTTTATTTAGTAAAATTTAAGTTGTCATAAGTGAGAGCCTTCTTTAATGAAATGGGAGAAAGACATCTATGAGTAGGAGGTGATAAAGGTATATGATAAGAGGATAACTTAGATCATATGATCATATGGGACTATAGCTGGAGTATGCTATCTTAAAAGAGGAGAACATTTGAATTAAGATAGACCAGGATTGGGTGAGTATTACCAGGAGATGGCAAGAGAGAGGCGGGGTTCTTGGGAGTTTATATTTCATGCTTTTTTGTCTTCTTGATGAAGTATGCGATATTTACTTAGAAGGGAAAGACCTGGATGGGTTTGGGGTACTTGTAATAGCCTAGAAGAAAATTTGACTAGCCAATCTCTGGGTGTAATCCAAGCTAACACTGTTGTACAACCATTAAGAAAGATTAAATCCTTTGAGTGGGTAGTAATACAATGTACACAAAAATACCAGCATGCCTGGGATCCTAGAGACCCCTCCATCCCCCCACACCCTGAAAGGAGCTGTTGAATCCAGAAGAGCAGGGAGTCACTGCACACTGGAAACTCCAGTGATTGAAGACCCTCAGCATATGAATGACAATTTGTGCCAGCATTTGAAAACTTCAGGCTGAGTGAGCATGAGTAGGAGATGGGAATGGAATAGTACAGGAAACTGTGAGGTAGGGCTTTAGAGTGTTGTAAAATAGCTCTTCTCAGTGACACAAATACAAGGTGGAAACTTCACTGCATAGCCTGCTTGTTCACCAGTGAGGGCCAGGGACTGCTGGAAATGAGAATGGGTTCTGACCTAGGAGGCTTCCTGGAGAAAGTCACCTTCTTCTTTCCCAAGGACTATCTGACATATACACATTCTTTCCAAAGAGTAGCTGTTATGTAATGCTTTATGAAAGACACACACACAAAGGAGATTGTCTATGTATCATTTCATTGTAAGGAGGAAACTCAGAGATGCTCAGTTGGCAGTAAGTAGACCTTACTAAACTTCTTGGTATAGGTATTGTCATTCTGAACTTCCTGACTCTCCATTGTTTTATTTGCATGTCAGAAAATGCAGACTTCATTAAAGTGGATAGTATGGGAGCTTTTGTTTCATTGTATAATAATAATCCTAAGAAATGTTATAGTTATTGTAGCTTCACTTCTCTTACATGCCTTTTTATTGGAGTAGCAAAACATCCTACATGGATTTTATTACTGGCATTTTTGGAAATGTAATTTCTAATTTATGTAGCTGTTCATTAAATCATTTTTTCCAAACAGGAAATGATGGATGTCAAACAATTCATTGATAAACTCCTACCTCCAATTGATTGACGTCACTAGAGGCCTTGTGCGGATGGTCACCAGCATCACTTGTAGAGTATAAACCTTTCCTCATGCCTGATCATAAAACTTCTAATGTTCACAGTGTTAAAAGTTTTGCAAATACATACCAATGATCAGTGATGTCTCCCTCATGGAAATGTATGATTCTTTTAAGTTTCTATACATGTATCTGTATTATATAATCCTTAAGATACTAGTATTAAAGTCAATGAAGTGAAGCAGCTAGTTTCCTTCTCAAGTTAATTCAACAAAATAAAATACCACAACCAGAGTTTTATTACATTGCTAGAAAATTACTAGTATGCTCACTGAAATTTGTTCAGATCTAAACAAGCTGTTCAGATCATCTGTAAGTGACTTATAAATGCTGTGATTTAGACTATGGTTTTACTCCTCAACTCTGTAGTCACCATGCAGTGTCTGTATTTTATATGTGTGTTCATATATCCATGACTGTAATGCATAAGAATTAGATGGTATTACATTATCCTTGATACTAGGGATAATGCTTTTTAAGTGTCAGAAAAGTAATACTGCTCTCTCCAATTAATGGCCCTGTTATTGGGAGACCAGACTGTTCTTTTCCTTCTACATAATTTTTCTCCTTTCAAGAAACAATAAAGTTTTTAAAAATTTTTTTCATAGAAGATTAATATTGGCACTCTGCTGTTAAAAAACCTGTCAATATATACTATAATTGACATTCTGAATCACAGACATATGGTATTTCTAATCTAGGTAATGTGAAAAGAAACCAACCATTACTTAATCTTACATATTTCAGAGAATTGTACCTCAGTCCTACTTTAGAATGCAGAAGCCTCAGTCCTGGTAATAATTCTGTTTCTATTTCTTTGTAAAAAAAAAAACAAAACAAAACAAACCTTAAAGGATAAATAATATCTTCGCATGTTCAAAAATAAATATTTAAGACCAGTTTTCAAATCTAACTTCTAAAACAGTTACATCATATAGCAGAATTTAAGTTTACATTTTCTGTACATATGTTATGTTTAAAACCAAATACTGTTCAAGATGAGCAATCAGAAACTTATTTTTATCTGGTAACTAATTTGGAGTTTTCATCTAGGTAAAGGCATTTTTGAGAATTAGTTTCCTATCCAAACATTAAAATAGCAATCACCTGATTTTAAATCAACTGTTCAAAATACTGGTGAAAATTATTAAAATGAATTTATGGGTAATAAAGACTGAGTAGAACCTACATATATCTAATTATATATATAGTGTAGTTACCACATAGTTGAATATGTTGCAAAAATTATGGTCGTTTCTGAATTGTTGCTTTTCTTGCTGTTTAACTGACCATGACCATGCTAAGAAGCATCATTATGAATGGGTGCTAACTGATATGGAGATCATTTGGTATGGACTAGATAGGATGTTAATATTGAAGCCATATGCTTATGTCTCTACTTAAAACAATTTCAAACAATCATTTACTGTTTTGGTGTACTTTGAAGAATATAAACTTATATCAGTTATACCATCAGTAAAATTTTATTTATGGTATGAAATATTCCATTGAATTCTTGTGCTGTAATGTGGGAATATGTCATGTTTTTCACAGTTTCTATCAGTGTGAAATAAAAATTGAATTCCAGCTTTCTTGCATTGGTTTATGAAGCATTGTTTCATCTTTTAAGATGAAACATAGCCCTGGCTGGCCCAGAACTTGCCTAAATAAACTCTCTTCTAAGTTGTTTTAAGTGTTGTATCACAGCAGCTGCAAAGTAATTAATCATGCTGAAATGGACGTCATGGAGATTCACCTGTCTTTGCTCCCAAGTGCTGATATGCAGGTATGTACTTCCATGGCGTGCTTGTTTACCAAGTTTTTTTTTTTTTTTTACGGCAAGGTCTCCTTTATAGCCAGCCCTGTCTGGCCTTGAAGTCTCAATCTTCTTGTCTGTCTCCCTATAGCAGGAATTATAGCTGTAGGAATGGCCATCTATGTTAAAAAGGAGGATACAAAAATGTAATCAGGAGAAAATTCATCAGGAGAAAAATTTTGATGTGACATGATTAGCTTGGAATGGAACTAGCCATTCAGGAGAAAATTTTTACTTAATTTTAATCTTAAATTCATTTTCAGTGTCTTAACCTATTTAAGAAAGCTACTGGGTGTTTTTATCTTTTCTTTTAATGTAGTTATCACTAGGGATTTAAAATCAGTATATATGTCAGTTATCCAAATATTTTCCTCCATGTATTTATTACTGAGCTCTAACATTTGCCAGCACAGGTCTTAGTTTCTGCCTTTGAATACTTAGTTGATCAGCTCACTGTTTTGTGATTCTGCTTTGTTTGATTTTGGCAGTCGTGTTGATTTTGTGATGCCTGAAGAAGAAATGTCCCCCTTAGACTCCATCCCTAGTTAGTGGCACTGTCTGAAGAGGTTATATGGACCAGGCTTTCTGGAAGAAGCACATTACTGTGGTCAGTGTAAGCATTGCAGTTCAGATGGAAAGGTATCCTGGCAGCTTGGAGCCAAGGAATACCCCAGAGTGACACTGCACAGCAAACCTAACACAAGAGATTTATAGGGATGGAAAAATCCAGGAGAGTGGCTGCCTCTGTTTGGGTGAGTGAGAAACAGCAGCAAACTGAACAGGATACAGGGCTTATATAGAGTTTCTCCACTTTTCAGGGTGGAGATTGGTGGGATTTCATGTACAGAGATTGGACTTTTTACTCTGTAGGATGGGGACAGGGTCCAGCAGTTAGGGCAGTTAGAGTACTTGGTGGGTGGAACCTGGCAGTTAGAAGTCCTTGCGAGGGGCCTGGCCACTCTGTTGCTCCAGAGGCTTACAGTCAGGCTTTGAGAATTTAAAGCCTTGTTCCACTTGCAGTTTGCTTTCTTTGCTTTGTGCTCTTTCAGCTTCCAGCTTCGGCCACCATGCCCACTGATTGCTGCTACGTTTTCCAGCCAAGATGGACTCTCTCTTTGTTTTGTCTGAGACAGGATCTCTATACATAGCCCTGGCTATTCTGGAATTCACTATGTAGATCACACTAGCCTCAAACTCACAGAGATCCCCCTGCCTGTGCCTCCCAAGTGCTGGAGTTACAGCCATGTGCCAACAATGCCTGAAACGTGGATAGACTCATCCCTCTACAACAGGAGGCCAAAATAAGCTTTTAAAAATTATATAGGTAGGTAGATAGACAGATAGATAGATAGATTGATTTTTGGTCGCTGCTTTATCATAGCAATGAAAAAGTAATACAGAGATGTGTAACAAAAATACTGTCATTTCTAACATTTCTCTTGCAGATTTACCCTGCAAAGCAGCACCACATTTCCTATGGCTTTTATTTGTCAGTCAGGGTAGGGTCTTGTAATATATATAGCTGTCCTGGAACTCAAAGTAGTCCTCCCGCCTCAGTTCTAAAACACTGGGATTATAGGCATGAGGCACTATACCCAATTCACACAGTGCTAAGATTCATGTATATGCACTAGACAGTCTGCTGAGTAACAACCCATTTCATCAGCTTTATATAAAAAATTCAGTGCATGCTTAGTTAGTTATAGTCATAAATAACAGAATTTTGCTTGCTTTTACAGTAGGTAGGACTTGCTACTTTACTTTTTAGAAGTAGATGTATGTGACCCTTGCCACAATCAGAACATTTATTTTTGTATAAGTTCCTAAAACTGAAAGAGGAAACACAGTATAGGTAAGCTGTGCCTAGAATTAGAATTGTTATAATTAAAATTAACTTGCCTAATTCCATGGTATTACCATTTTACTCTATGCCCTTGTAGGGTAATTGTATCTTAAAAATATATTTCCTATACTACAAAACATCTTAAAAATGCTGAGTCAGATTATGATGCAAATCATTGCACCATGCAGAAATTGAAATCTCCAGAGTCAAAGAGAATGAAACAACTCCTGTAGCATATTTAACTTTAGGCTCAGATGAGGAAAGATGTGAAAATAATCTACCAATATAAAAACATGAACCTTCTAGGGGTTGCATATAAGGTGAGCTAGGAAAATGGCCTGGGTTCAACACAAAAAATAAAAGAACCTGTGTCTTTGAGCCTGTACACTGAATTTTAAAGTGAAAAAAATGATCTTCCTGAAATAATTTTTTTAACCAGAAACTCGTTTTCACGTGATTATGTGTGTGTGTGTGTGTGTGTGTGTGTGTGTGTGTGTATATATATATATATATATATATATATAGTGCAATATATAGATTTTCAGTGCATAAACTTATAAATATCAAGAACTTCCCTGGGTCAGGCTGTCACTGAGGCATGCAGGAAAGGTAGACATGGTGAACGCCTTTATTCCTAGCACTGGGGAGGCAAAGGCAGGCAGATCTTTGTGAGTTCAAGGCCAGCCTGGTTTATAGAGCGAGGTCCAGGACAACCTCCAAAGCAATACAGAGAAACCCTGTCTCCCTGAAAAAAACAAACAAAAAAAACATAAAAATAGAAGTGAGCACCCTCAAACCAAACATCCTGCCATGAGTAAGCACCAGTGGTGAAAGAGTAGAGAGTGATTATGCCCAGGACCTTGAAATTGAGTCTGGGGATAGGTGTATGAGATTATTAAAGACAGCAAGAAGAAACAGCATTAAAATTCAGATTTGGGGGAAGGGGATGAAAATCAGCCACTCCAATGAAAGATCTCAGTAGAGAAGTAACAAAAGTACCTGAAGTGACTCAAATGTCTAAAGTGGACCACACCATAGAATGAACTGAGGTACAAAAAGTGATTCTCAAAAAAGAATGAGCATGTAATGTGTTAGTTTGGAACTGACTCAGGGTATACTCAAACAATGAATATTTAAAATATACATCATGTGGGGTGTAGAGATGGCTCAGTTACAAGTGCTTGTTATTCCAGAGGACCCAAATTTAATTCCTAGTACCCCATGACTGGCAGCTCATAATTTCATATAAATCCAATTCCAGGGGAGCCAACATCCTCTACTGGGATCGCAAGCTTGCACACGCATTCATTCACACTTGCACACAGAAATCCATCTGTGGATCACGTAAAGAAACTAGAGTAGAGTGAACGGAGTGGGAGAAAGAATACCTGTCCTTGGTATCCATTGATTACCAGGTATTTTTAGTGTATCAGAAGGTAAACTTTGCCATTTTAAAGATTATACATTGGCAACTGAATTGTGGAAGTAAAAAATCAACAGTTACAATTGGTTACAAATGAATAAGTTTAAATTATAGGATTTGGAGGAAAAAGGAATTCTACAAATTAATAGTAGAAGACATGAAAATCTAAGTAAATGGTGTTTGTAGATCAGGCTGTGGATAGATGTGGTTTGACTGCATCTCCTGAGGTTCATATAGTGAAACTTAACTCATTTTGGTATTAAGAGAGTTGTCTTAGTTTCCTGTTGCTGTGACTATTGTAGTTTACAGTTCTAGGTAGTAGTGAAAACAAAACAACAGATGTTCAAAGGGAGCTAGTCACATTGCGTTCAGCGTCCAGTAGTTTATTCCACTTTCAGAATCCTGCTCAGAGGCCAGTCTGTCAGGTGATTTGAACTTCTGTCAGGTTAACAACAATCACAAGAGCATAAATTACCAATGTTTGGACTAAGAACTTTTGGGACATGGTCAGGTTTAGTCATTAGGGTGGAAACCTTGTGATTCAATCACGATGGCTTTATAAGTAGAAAATAGTCACACACGCTCCCTACCTCTTGATATACAATGTCCTGCACCTCTTAGCACTCCCAACCAAGGAAGCTGTCATCACATGGACTTCATCTTTCATATATCATCCTGTATTTTATTGTATCAAAAATGGGCTAACAGAAATTGGAAGATTTTATATAGTAAATGTGTTCATTCTCTCCACATCAATACTCAAGTTTAATGCAGTTCCTATTACAATCCCAGTGAGACTGTTATACACAGTTACTCTAAAATTTATGTGGGAAGATGAGAGAACTTAGACAGGCTGAAATGATGCTATAAAAGTAAAGTGCAGTGTTTCAAAAATTATTAGATAGTGCCAGAAATTCATATTGACAGGGATACGCATACAGATGAATGGTACAAAATTATGCTGAAAAAGCCTCAACAAAAGCACAGGGGATGAGCAATTGGATAACTGTAGACAGAAACTCCATCCAAAATTAAAAAACACGGCTCTTTCAAAGAGCCTATCACAAAGCAAGCAAGGGTAGGTGTGGCAGCACACATTTCATCCCACAGAGGTGGGTGGATTTCTGAGATTTCAAGCCCAGGATGGTCTACATGCCAAGTTCCAGACCAGAGCTACATAAAGGCCCTGTTTCCAAGAAACAAAACACTTGCAAACTATTAATAAGCGATTATGTAAATCAAGTAAATCATTCTTTAAACAGTAAAAAACTAATTTTAAAAACATGAGATATTTCACTGAGGGAGCTATATGAATGATGACTGATATTACAGACCTTAAAGGGATTGCAAGTTAGAACTACAGTAAGACTATTACATACCCATTAGATCATCTAAAATGATAATAATAATGGGGCTAGTGAGATGGTTCAGTAAGGAAAGGCACTTGCTGCTAAGTCTGACCTGAGTGCAGTTCTTGATGCCTCATACTGGAAGGAGAAAACAAACTCTCAAAAGTTGTCTGTTGCTGTGCCACTGCATGCGAATATATGCATACATACACAAAAATGAATGGAAAGTTTAAAAAACTAGTAATAACGCCAAGTACTACATGTAGAGAAACTGGACTCTAATACATTGCTGTTGAGAATATAAAATGGTAGTCATTTCAAAAAAGTTTGGATATTAAGCTGTTAGAACAAACCAGAGGTTTGTTTTGTTTTTTAAAGCCTTTGAATTAAATAAAATAAAGACTTACTTTTTTAGTGTGGGTTAGTATTACTGTGATGGAACTCCATGACCAAAGCAACTTGGAGAGGAAAGGTTTGATTTCAGCTTATACCTTACAGGTACAGTCCATCACTGAAGGAAGGTGGGGCAGGAGCTGGCGGCAAGAGCTGATGGATGCAGAGGCCATGGAGGATGCTGCTTACTCAATTGCGCCTCATGGCTTGCTCAGCCTGCTTTCTTAGAGAACTCAGAACCACCAGCCCAGGGATGACACCTCCCAGAATGGGCGTGGCCTTCTCATATCAATCACTAATTAAGAAAATGCCTCATGGGCTTGCCTGCAGCCCAATCCTCTGGGGGCATTTTCTTAATTGACCCTTCCTCCTCTCAGGTGACTTTAGCTTGTGTCAAGTTGACAAAACTACCTGGCACACTTACTGAGATCATTGGAATACTATGAACAACTCTTTTTGGGAAAAGTGGGCTATAGCTAGAACATATGAAGCCATGGGTGCAATCCACAGGACTATAAAAATATTAAGTAACCTAGATAAAAACGAAAGGAATCCCTATAAACATAAAGACTGTCCAGACTGGCTTTAAGAAGATGGAAACAATGAACTTGGATCAGAAAAAAAACAAAACAAAAAGCTAGATGGTTAAAGAGGTGATTGAATTCTATCAATCTATTAACACTAAAGAGAAAAACTGTAAGAGGCATTATTCCAAACTGTGTGATAGCCTAGCATACCAGGCTGTGTATCAAAATGGAGCAACTTATCCCAAAATTACCAAACTGAAAACTGTTTATCTGACCTTATCAGAGGTTAAGTCAACACTGCCAAACAAGCCAGTTTCAGTTAGCATAATGAAGTTCACTCTCCTTAATCCTCACACAAAAGCCACATAATGTTGATTTCTATTTTACACTGTTCTGTGCTTTAATTTCTGCTTTCTTCAGCTTTCTCCTGTCAGTAACAGCTATTGTGATTAGCCCATGAGAACATGTGTTTTCCCCCTCAGTGGAATGGAGTTTTATTGACACAAAAGTTATTGCAGTCAACTAAAATCTTCACATTTTAATCCTATAATTCTTCTTTGCTTTTGAGACAGGATTTCTGTGTAGCCCTGACTGTTGGAACTTGCTCTGTAGACCAACCAGGGTGGCCTCAAACTCACAGAGATCAGCCAACTATGCCTCCTGGTTGCTGGGATTAAAAGTGTGCACCACTACCGCTCAGCTTTGCATCAACATTTTATATATAAAAAATCCTATGGAAACCTAACGGCATATGCGTCCTACTCCACCATAACAGTGGCTGATGGGAGATGATTGCCAGTGGCCCACATGGATTACATGGACCCTAACACACAAACAAAAAAAACCCCAAGGTGCAAATGAGTCTCAGTGGTAGATCACACTGGGCCCAGTGGTAGATCACACTGGGCTAGAAACATATTCTTTTCAGAAACAATGATGCTAGACACAGTGATATAGGCTTTGTAATCCTAACATTTGGGAGGTAGAGGCAGGAAAATGAGTTCAAGGTTAGCCTCAATTACACAGGGGTGTTTTCACCTGGGGGTGAACCTAGCTATTTTCTACCCACTCCTAAGGTTCCAATGACAAAAGACTCACTTTGGGGAACTTATTCACAGTGCATGGATGACCCTCAAGCAGAAATCCTGCACCTTAGACTGCTCCACCTGGATAGTAGTTCCCACGTGGATACACAGATGGAGCTCTGATCCCAGTCTTTTCCAACCTAGCCCTTCCCCAGAACCCTGAGGCCATCCACAATTGGGGTAGAACCACATACAACTACTTGGGAGAGATGGTTGGTCATATGTATGACTTTGAACACTCAACAAGCTCAGCTCTGATGAGCTTTTCCAAGCAGGCACAACTGAACTCATGAAAATGGCAGCTGTTTGGTTCTATGTATGGATAGTGATGGTCAATAGAGGCCAACCAGGGCTTGTCTTCAAAAACCAAATAAAAAACCTACTAGAGCAAACAAAGTTGCAGGATAAGAGGTCAGTACGAGAATGGTTATTGTATTTGTAAACACTAGCAAAGAGTAAGTTGAAGAGCTCCTCAAGAAAGAATTCCATTTACAATTGCATTTTAAAGACTACTGAGTAATTTAGCCATAGTAAAAATCATGTGCTAAAAATTATTGCCAAAGGGATCTAAACTAGCTCCAAATTAATGGAAATTTTATTTTAATGGATTAGAAGACAATATTATTAAAGTGACAATGGCTACTCTTCATAACCTTGGATCTGGAGATTTGTTCTGAGATTGACACTTATGGGGTACCTGAAGAGAAAAAACTGCCTAGGTGCCTGAATAAGTCATATGGAATCATTACTTCTCACCAGCAGGGCTGTCCTAGGCACAGCAGTGGGAAGTAGTCTAAACCTTCCGTTTGTTCAAGGTTTTAAAGGCAAGGACCACCATTATAACATGCAGAAAGGCAGCTGTGGACACTGCAACAGCAAGCACTTCCAACTGCTATTGGAAAAATAAGTGGTCAGGAAGTTCTCAAAATCTTTAGGACACATTTTATAGGAATTTATGGCTGGTCTAAGTGACCAGAGACCAGGAGTAGTTTTACAAGATGACATAACTATAGTTCAGTAGTCTTCTACAACAGAAAAGGAGCAAAGCATCAAAGAAAAGATGAATGGGAAGACAGCCTTCAGAAGAGGAAACATCCCCTAAGAGTTGTATCCAGAATATGAAAATAATTACAACATAACCAAGACAATCCATGTAGAAATCAGGAAAATAGGGGCTGGATAGATGGCTCTGAGGTTAAGAGCACTTGCTGAGGAACCACATGGTGGCTTAAGGCTGCCTCTAACTCCAGTTCTGGGGATATGACACCCTCTTCTGGCTTCTACAGGCACCAAACATTCACACATAGACATAAAACATCGTTTAAAGATTTAGGCAAAGTTGTACATTTTTTAAAGTGATAAATGTATAAATGTATAAAGGTATGGTTGGGAGTAAGGTTTTTATTGTAGATATGAAGGGAACTACTGCCAGAAACATCTAGAGTCTAGAGCAGGAAGAGAAAGTAGTAGACTGAACATGGTCAGCAGAATGGACCAGGCCACGGGGGCAGCAAAGAGGACCAGGATCCAAGATGGCGCAAGGCCAAGATGGCACGGTTACATAGGAATCAGACGCTGTGGGGAGGGAAGTCCGTAAACTTGAGGCTTTTAGGTTAGGGGTATACGGTGAGATGAGTTGGGGAGCCAGGATGCCAGCACGGACTCTGTAACAGGTACTTGGGATGCTGAGAGAGCATGGAGGTATGCTAATAGTCACCACAGTTAGCCATTTGTCCCAAGTTTCTTTTGGACTTGACAAAATTATGGAAAACTTGGAAACTGTCTAGTGATCATAACTATACAAACATCCCACATCTTACTCTGCCTTCCCCATACAAGAACCATAAAAACCTGTTTTCTTGGTATAGACAGAATTTTATTAGATGGTAGGTTTTGATTAATAATTTTGGAATGGAGTTATAACTAAGGGTAGTATGAATTGGTAGTAAATGGTTTAACTGGGCACAGACCTAATTTCTCATGTGTCAACGAGATAATTCTTGTTCCCTCTCTGTTACCTCACAAGAATACTGAGGGGAAAGGTTAAAAAAAAAAAAAAAGGAAAGTACGTGTATATGAAACTTGCTAGTTAACTGTTTCATTTCAATCGAAACTGTGATTGATCAAAGTGGAACTGACTGTGTCACCCTAGAAAATTATTTGCTTATCAGAGAAGCCTTAAAGTGTGAAAACATTAATTACTACTACTCTTACAACACGGTCTTTCATGCTTGGTGACACGTGTTTAAATAAACACGATATGTGTTTATTTTTCCATTGGAAGACATTTTTGAGGTTTAATGTCTGTAATGTCCACTGGCTCCTAACTAAAAACTTTCACATTGGAACAAAGTAAACAACATTATATATATATATATATATATATATATATACACACATATATATATACGTATATACTCAGTTTTCTACCTTTGTTTTTTGTTAGTTACAATTCTCAAGGCCATCATCTTCTAAGTAGGTTTGCATCAGCAGGTGGGATGGTTCCAAGAAAGGACCTCAGTGCTCGTTCAAGTGCTCCCAAGCGGACAGCCACGCCTACTCCGAGTCCCAAAGGACGCGGTGCCGGAGGGAACCGGTAGCTGTCTACCGCCAAGGGCTGGGCTCCCGCCGGCGTGAAAGCCCGTGCAAGTCCCATTCCAACTCTCCAGCAACGCGAGAGACCAGAAGTTCTAGACTGCTGCGGCCGGAAGCGGATCGGGGGAGGACAGCGCGCGAAATCGTGCGGCTCCCCAGTCCTCCGCGATCGATTGATAGCGCCTACGTGGCGCGTGCGGCGCTCGACTGGCACGGCCTAGGGGGCGGGGCGCTTGGTGAGGAAGGCCTAGGCCGTCTGCTTCACGGCTTGTCGAGCGTCCGCGCTGCTTCTCGCGCTTCCCGTCCGCTGTGGCCGGGCGAGCGGAAGCCTTACGGAGCCATGGAGGACGAGGTGATTCGCATTGCCAAGAAGATGGACAAGATGGTGCAGAAGAAGAACGCGGTGAGCGGGCGGGCCCCGGGCAGGCCGCGGCCGAGACCGCGACACCGGCTCACGCGGAGCCAGTCAGGGCCGGGCCGGGCCGCGCCGCGCCGCGCGCCCTCCGGGTTTCAGCGTCGGTGCAGGCAACGTCCGCAGTGAGCCCGGGATCAGAGCCCCTCTCCGGTGGAGAGAACGTGCGGCGGCCGCCGCGCTTACCTTAGGACGGCCTTACTGGCTGCCGCGGCTGGTTTGAGACGGGCGGTAAAGTGTGTGCTCTGCCGCGGACCCGCCTCGTAATTAGACCCAGAATCCGCCGCCTCTCAGCGAGTAGGCCTGGGTGCGATGCGGGACAGCCCTGGCTAACAACCGCACTCTCCAGCGGGCTGCTGGTAGGCGGGTTACGGGACTGAGGTAGTGGCGGGCCGAGGACGTCGCCCGTGTGTGTGTGTGAGCCACTCTCGGCCAGCTTCCTCCGTACCCAGCACATTTTCTTTATCGACGTACTAGAAACAGCTTGTTCCCATTTACTAAATGAGAACCGTAAAGGGCTGCTTACATTTGTGCAGCGCTTTAGAGCTACAAACCTCTGCAGAATTCTTTTGTAACTAGAACACCGTTGTGAGTGCATGGTCTACCCATTTGCTAAGTCAGGAGCGCGGGGCGGAGTGCTTCTGCTCAAGTGCTGTGTAGTTTGGGCTGAGCCAGGAGCTGGCTGATTTCCCGCTCACTGCCAGCTTAGGAATTAGTGTTAATACCAAATAACTAAGACTTCAGACACCCCCTGTTCCTCTTTTTCTTCAGTAGGTGCGTTGCCCAGCATTTAATTTCATGCCCTGTTAATCTGCATTTGCAATTTTGGTCTTCTCAAAGTATTTCCTGTTTGTTTTCTATTCTAGGTATTAGCTATTTCGTTCCTTGCTGCAAGACATGAGTTTTGGTTATAGGATACGTTGAGCATTTTTATTTTTTGGATTAAATTGGGAAACTTTTCTCTCTGCCTGGAGGTCCCCAGTTTGTCACACTGGAAGCTCTGGGGGGGGGGGGGGAGTTATTAACTGGTAATTTCCCTGATCCATCAGGATAAACAGGATAAACTTCCAGTAATTCTCGAGTCTCTCTCTTTTCTGATAGTAAATACACAACCTTAACCAGTATGACAGTTTGCCATAAAAAAAGGAAAGATAACGCTGGTTCTTTTCATTGCTTTTTCTTTCATTTCCCTGCCCTCTGAAGTTCAAGCAGGCTGATGAAATAAAGAGAAAGGTCAGAATGGCAACTCTTCATGTATTCTAAAATTTAAAAACATTAACATTTATATTTGCGTGTGCATAAGTCAGAGGACAACTTGAGGGTTTCTCTGTGTAGCCCTGGCTGTCCTGGAACTCACTCTGTAGACCAGGGTGACCTCAAACTCAAGAGATTGCTTGCCTCTGCCTCCTGAGTGCTGGGATTAAAGTCCTGGGCCATAACCATGCCCATCCTCCCACCCCCTCCTCTGCATGTTTGTTTTGTTTTAAAGATGGGGTCTTGCTATGTAGCCCAGGCTGAGCTGGAAATCCTGGGTTCATGTGATTCTCCTGATTCAGTCTCCTCATAAATGGGACTACAGGAGTGAACTGTGATAGCAGCTACTTTTAAGTTATTTTTATATCATTTCATTTTAATAAAGCTGTACAGTAGATGTCACTTAATTTAAAACAGCTACCAGTTATTGAGCTGGTACTCCAAGCCACATATTCCTCTAAATCCAGTAATTATCAGTCTCACCTCTTTTTATTACTCAGATAGTTTTGTTAGGTTAGTACTCCCATTCTATAAAGGAGAATTTGGAAATGTAAAACAACCTTGGAATTACTATGTACACCTGCAAATTTCTTATCAATGAAATCTTATGTGACATCTCATAACTAGCTTCTTTCGCTTAATGTAATGCTTTGCAGTTTGTTTTGTTTTTAGACAGGGTCTCAATGTGTTGTATGGATTAGTTAAGAATTCTATTTCTTTTTTCAGGATCTTGAGTAGCTGGTTGGGACTGTAGACACGTACCACTATGCTCAGCTTACTATATATTTTACAGTCCAGTCTGTATCATATCTTGTTAATATTTCATTCTTTTCTGTTGCAGAATAGTATTTCATTGTACTGGCACATATATCACATTTGGGTTCCTCTTTTGATGCACATCGAGGCTGTTTCCACTCCAGACTATAAAACTATTGTTAAGATATTCTTATGTCTGTTTGTGTTGGCATGTTTTCATTTCTGTTAGGTATATACCTAGAAGTAGAATTTAGCCATGCAGTGCCTATGTGGAACTTTTCTTTTTAATCCTGGGTCTGGACCCCTAGGCAAACAATATCATTAAGCTATACCCCACACCTACCTAACCATTTGAGAAACTGTCAAAAAAAAGTAATTTTTTTCCTCCCACAAAGTGGCTCATAGCATTTTACACTGCCATCAGTAGTGCTTGACTGTTTTGATCTCACCATATTGTTCCAATACTTGCTGATATTTGTCCTTTAAATCTCAGTCTTTAGTGAAGTGCTCTGGACATCTTTTCCATATTTACTGGGTGTCTGTGTGATCTGTTTTGGAGGCCTTTAACCCTCACCCCACCCCACCCCCAGCCGTCTCTTGTGTGGGGTGTTTAGTACTCGTGTACTTGACCATTTCATCTACCTCTTAGGAGCTATGTTATTCTCTTCAGTATGTGAGACGCTTGAAAGGACTTTTAAAATTAGGAAACAAGAGTATGGATTTGAATCTGGGGCAGGGGGAAATGCAGCACATGTTCCTAACTCTAAGTCCCCAGTACCTCTTCTTTTTGCATGTGGAGAAGAAGACGTTTGAATCTTGTAGTTTTATATAAATTACACTGCCTGCACATTTGAATACTGTATTTTGTAAAAGCACTTCTGTTAACAGATAGGAGCGCTAAAAATGTAATAAAATAGTGTAATGGTTACAGTTTATTTTTCAGTCATTTCTGTGAACTTCAATGCAGCTTTGGAAGTTAAGAGTCAGATGTTTCTTTCTCTTGCATCATTATCTGTAGAAGATGCTGCAATGGACTTGATGCTAAGAGGGAGATAACTGGGAAGGGATAGAATGCTGCTTTTGTTTGGTAGTGAGTTCAGAAAGCACAACTGTCGGTGGACCAGAGGAATGGAAAACATAGTTGTGCTTGATCACAAACTGTAGAGGTTTTTGTTGTTTGTTTTGTTTCAATCCCTGGGACTGGATATGCAGCTTGATATAGTAGAGTACTAGGTTAGCATGTATGAGGCTCTGGGTTCAATCTCCAACATCAAAATAAAATACAATTCTCTGAAATCCTAAGGGATTGTTTTCTTGTTTACTGCTGTTTGCTCACACAGAATGGAGCTTATTATATGGCATTAAGAGTATCTGTTGAAGAGCTGAAGAGATGACTCAGCTGTTAAGAGAACTTAGTGTTCTTGCAGAGGAACCTGGGTTTGGTTCCCATCTCCCACTTTCGGGGGTTTACAATTAACTGTAACTCCAATCCCAGAAGATCAACATTCTCTTCTGGCCTCTGCAGGCACAACACATAAATATGTACAGACACACTCATATACATATCTGTGAAGTATTTAACACAATACCTGGTGCACAGTAACTCCCAAAGTTAAGTTGTCACTGAGGATATAATCATGCTTTTTGCTAGTTTGGTACAGTTCATCTTAGTTTACCTTGTAGAGAACATCCAGTGATGTACTCAATCTTAACTGATTGAAACACATGTAGTTGTCGAGAACAAGCATATTTGCTGCATTCCCTGAATCACATAGCATTTTCTTCCTGTCATAGCTTTGGTCTCCTAAACCTATTCTTTCCAGAGGACTGAGTAGACACAGAAAGTCAAGATAAAGTAAATCCGTTGCCTCTACTTGGGAAATGACTTAAATCATGTGCTGTATTACTGATGTGTTTCTTTTAAAAATTAGCTTTACATGTGACATGGCGTGTGTGCCTTAGAAGAGGTACAGCTTTTTAAGAACTACCTATAAGTTTGATTTGTTAACTTCTTATTGATATTTATTCTGAAGTGAATCAGAAAGTCCATGGAGATGTGGCTAGAAGAAAAATGCTATCATAAATAGAGAATACAGATAGATCTACCATCTGATAAAAGCCTCTGGACTATTGAGAATTCCAGAATTTTTCAGATTGACAAGATATGACACCACATCCTGTATTATGTGATACCCCTAGAAGGAATTTGGGTAGCTCCTAGTAACCAGACATTAGCATTTTTCTAATAAATACAGTGAGTGCAGTACTCTTACCATTTAAGTGAGGAAAAAAAATTAAATGAGGTATGTAGAAACCATTAGCTTTACATCTGTTGAAACTAGCCTTTGCTGCCAAATGAATTTCTTAAGACTTTTTAGTTTTGAAAGTTTTTGATTTGGGGAGAGATGGGGTGTATGCACACAAATGATTGGATCTCATTTGTACTGAAAAAAAGTGCTGTAGAAATTCTTTAAAATATACTTACTCATTTATTTTACATATATGTGTATGTATGTATGTATGTGTACCACGTGCACAAGGGTGCCCGTGAAAACCAGAATGTTCGGTGCCCTGGAACTGGGATGCAGGTGCTTATAAGCCTCCTGAGTCCCGAGAACCAACCCTGAGTCCTCTGCAAGAGCAGCAAGTGCTCTTAACCCCCGAGCCTTCTCTCCAGCCCCTAGATTTTTTTAATGTTCAACTTCAGACCAATGTTCTCTAACAATGTTTCACTGTATGTAGTTGACTCTAAATATGAAGTATACAGAATTTTAACATAAAAGATCTGTAAGCCAAAAATTGTTAAGATCCTTTATAATAACCTTTTTCATCATTTTTCTTGTGTTTTCTTTCAAGTTTGTGATTAAGTTAAATGCTTTTATTGTTTCCAGAAGAGATGTTGATACCATTTTATTCTGGAAGATCAGGTCTGAGGTTGGATGACTTTAAATAATCATGACTGGAAATCTTTTGTTTTTTTAATAACAGTGCAAAAGGCTGGAGAGATGCTCCATTTAAGAGCACTAGCTGCTCTTTCAGAGGACCCAAGATTGATTCTTGGTACTCCAGATGGTGGGTAATATCTGGCTGTGACTGCAGTGCCAAGGTATCCAATGTGCTCTTTTAGCCTCCAAAGGCACTGGGTGTGCATGTAGTGCTCAGACGCACGTGCAGCTAAAATACCCATGCACGTATAAAAAATATTAAACACTTAATTTCATTAAAAATTTTAATGCAAGTCCTTCTTTCTATAGCATGCGCTTTTGTATGGGATTTTTATTGTTCCAAGGTATGCTGTGTTTTCATTGATTTGTAAGGGGCCGTCTTTTCATGTTTTAAGAGTTTGGAAGGCAGCATGAGTTACATATATAGTTGACTCTTTGTAGTGTACTATGTACTTTCACAGCAGAATGTCAAAACTTGTGGAGAGGGCTGGTGAGATGGCCTAACAGCATGAACCAACTCTTGAAAGTGGTCCTCTGATTTCTACAGGTGCACTGTGGCATGCATGCAGACTCAATATCATAAACTTGAAAGAAAATAGAGGTACATTGGAATACCCTTGGGCCCTGAGGAAGTAAATAGCTATAGAAAGAGTAGAAGTAAAATACGGTTCTCCATGTTGCAGATCCAGCCTGACATTAAACTTGTTACGCTCTTTCCTCAGTCTCCAGTGTTGGGATTACAGACACATGTTACCACACTACCAGCATCATCACCCCATTACTAGTCTTCTTGATCCAACTTTTTTTTTGTTCTTGTTTTGTTTGTTTGTTTGTTTGTTTGTTTGTTTGAGACTGGGGCTTACTATGAATTCTTGGCAGGTCTGGGATGGCACAGAACTGCCTGCCTACTTCCTGGGTTCTAGCATTCAAATTATGTGCCGCCATACCTAACCCTCTGTAGAGACATTATCAGATCTGAGTGAAAAAGTGATTTATAAATGCCTGGTTCTGAATATGAAGTACTTTGATAACTCTTTATCTGATTTGTCTTATTCATATTTTCCATTTTATGTATATAAGAGGCAATGTATGATAGAAATAAAAAATCCGTGGCTGGGTGTTGGTGGTGCACGCCTTCAATCCCAGCACTCACGAGGCAGAGGCAGGCGGATCTCTTTGAGTTCCAGGCCAGCCTGGTCTACAGAGTGAGTTTCAGGACAGCCTCCAAAGCTACAGAGAAACCCTGTCTTGCAAAACCAAAAAAAAAACAAAACAAAACAAAACAAAAACAAAAACTTTGATTTTGCTGCTATTTAACAGTATATCACTGCATAGACCTAGCTGGTCTAGAACTCTATGTATGTCAAGCTGGCCTCTTAGAAATCCATTTGCCATAGCATCCTGAGTGCTGAGAATAAAGGTGTGCACTACTGTACATAGCTAAAAGGATTTTTTTCCAATAAGCAGGAAAAAATGGAGTTAAAAGAAAATGTACCCTAACTTAAGTTTTTGTTTGGTTGGTTGGTTTTGAGCAGAGGTATTGAGTAAAGCACAGAGAATGGAATTCTTTTTCCAAGAGCCCACATAAAAGATGGGAGTTGGGTTTGCCAGCTGCTTTGTGATCCCAGTGCAGAAGGTGCAGGCAGTCCCTGGAGCAAGCTGAACCAGTGAGTTGAGCAAGAGGTTTTGCCTGAATATATAAGTGGGGAGGGACTGATGTAAGGTACCTCATCTCAGACCTGTCAGTGCTCTGACACACACAAGGAAACCCCCACACATGGAAAAATACCTTCCTCTGTGTGTGTGTGTATGTACACACGCTGTGGAAATGTAGAGTATTAATGAAGTGATTAAGTGACTGTTTTAGGTAGGATGAAATTAAATGACTACCAGTGTGCCCAGCATGGTGGCACATGCCTTTAATCTCTGCAGTCAGGTGGATCTCTTGAGCTTGAGGCCAACCTGGTTTACATAGAGAATTTCAAGCCACCAGACAGAGAACCCTGTCTCACCAAAAAAAAAAAAAAAAAAAAAAAAGTTGTGTGTGAGGGGTTGGCCAAAAGCTATAGGTGACACTGTTGCCCCTCTATTCCTCTTTAATGTCAGAATTAATGTCGTGTCCCCCCCACCCCCTTCAAGGGTTTTGTTGCCTCTTTAGCATCATGTAGAGTTTTGACTCCATGTAGTAATTGGCAGTAGATAGTCTTAGGAACATAATATAGATGTAAATTCTAAATTTTCTTTCAGAAATTGCTCTTTACTATTCTGTAAGAACCAGGTGGATGGCAGTGTTCTTATGACAGACTATTAGATATGGACATTGAAATGCAAAGAACTCATACAAATTCTCGGAAAGCAATACCTTTCCCTTCTTGCCCTGCTCATAGTAAGAACTAGAAGGACTCCATTTTCTCAGTCTGGCTTTTCCCTCATGTAGATAATTCTCATGGAAGTCTTAGGTATGTTTTTCATTATAGTAAGAAATTTTACATTTCTTCTCAGAAGACACATTTGAACAAATAGTGTTGAAAATACAATTCAAAATGACTTCACAAGTGCTAGCTGTAACTCAGAAAGCAGATGTTATGAACCTCCATGTTTTAATCTCCATTGTAAGATGATGTATGTATGTATATACATATATGTATATACATCTTTGTACTTATGTAAGCAGAAGAGCCATTGTAAATTGTTAATTGGCTAGTGCTTAATTTACTGTCATGGGAATTCAAGATGAATCTTTTTTTATAGGCTGGCGCATTGGATTTGCTGAAAGAGCTTAAGAATATTCCCATGACTCTGGAATTATTACAGGTATGTGCTTTTATGTGTCACAGTGTTTAAATTGGTAATTGCCATAAAATAATTGATCATCTTCATTATCAATAGCATGCTTTTAACTATTCTTTTATAGAATAGATCATTCTTTTTTTAAGATGACAACATAAATCAGCCAATTGTCATAAATTATATACTCATATATAAATAAGTATATATATAATAAAACATAAATTATATATGTGTTTCTCAAAGAACTTTCCAAGGTTATGGTGGTATGAGATCTCACTATAAGGGGTGCCCATGGATTCCTGACCCTGGTTTGGTCTTTCAGCATTTCACTGTAGCTTAGTGTAGGGATAATGGAGAATCACCACTTTTCTTCCTTTTACAGCCTCAGCCATACATGCAAACAACTGAAGTCTAGATGTTCAATCTAATGTAGAAAAGTAAGTCAAAATGTTAAAAAGGAAAGTAAGGCCAGGTGGTGGTAGCTCACGCCTTTAATCCCCGCACTCGGGAGACAGAGGCAGGTGGATTTCTGAGTTCAAGAAATCCTGGTCTACAAAGTGAGTTCCAGAAGAGCCAGGACTGTTGCACAAAGAAACCCTATCTCGAAAAACATGAATTAGCCTTTTCCAATAGACATTCCTTGTTCATGGGCATTCTTCCTTGATGTTTCTGTTCATTAAGTCAGAATTCAAGAAAGAATTATAAAGGTGAGTAGACCTCACTGGGAAATCTATGTTCAGGAATGTCTATGAACAGCATATTTCTCATTATAAAGATGATCAAACTACAGCCATTTACAACTGTAAAAGAAATCACAAATATTTTCATTTCCATTAACTTATATTGTTACAGATGTATTAAAATTCATTTGCTCATCCTGATGGCTGCTTATGTTCCTTACTTCATCTTAATGTTTTAATAAGGAAGCAAGTGTATTAATCTGTACTTAACTATAGTTGCTTTTCTTTGTAGTCTTGTGTGTTTTATTTAGTGTGCTTTAAAGCACTTCTGAAGATGTTTATAAGTTTCACCAGATAGCTAAAAAGATCTATAGTGGAAAACAAAGCCAAATAATAGGACTGTTATATGCAGATTCAAGAAAGGAAGCTGGCCATGAAGTTGAATTTCTGGGTTCTAGGATCAGCAGCCATTTCCTTTTGGATATTATCTTACCCCCCACCTAGGTGTAACCCTTCCTAGCAGAGAGTAGTAGGCTCATGTGGAGAAAATACATTGAAAATAATCTCAGTGATCCCAACATGTAATTTAGGGATGTGTAGAGTTATAAAAGAGTGGAGGCTGGGGAGGGTTTGCATTTCTATCCACGTCTGATTTTTTTTTTCCTCTTCATTCTAACTATATAACAGATACTTGAAGATTTATTATGGCTGGGTTTGTGAATGTCAGTAAATTAAAATCTTTCTCCCTCTGAACTCAAAGCCTAGGAGAAGAAATTGTATCTAAAAGGAACAGTCTAGACAGGGGCAGAGTAGAAAGAAGTTTTCTGTTTTGTAAAGTTTTATTATTTTATGTGTATGGATATTTTGCCTATATGTTTGTCTGTGCACTGTGTGCCGGAAGAGTTGGGGGTGTTTAGCTGTAACTGTAGTTAAACAAATGGTTGGGAACCACCATGTGGATGTTGGGAATTGAACCTGGGTCCTCTTCAAAAGCAACAAACGATCTTAACCACCAAACTATCTCTCCAGTCCTAGAAGTTGATTTCTTAGTTTAATCACTTAATCTGAGAACTACAGATAGCCTTCACACAGGTGGTCTCCAAAGATTTTCAGGTTCTCTCTCAGCAGAAGTAGCATGAGGAAGCAATATGGAATGCTGGGTAGTGCAGGGCAAGGAAGAGCTAGAGGCAGCTTGGCATAGAGCTTCATATACTCTCAAGAGCAGTACTGCCTAGAGGTGTTAGGAGAGTGTATAACCAGATCTGCATCTTGAAAGACAGAAGACTGGCTGACTAGTGAGGTTATTCAGGTGAGTTTTGATAGAGGAGTCAACAGAGATACTGGCAGTAAACGTGGGGAGAAGAGGATTTGAGGAGATGGCAATACAAGGGGTGATGGGGTAAAGGCACCCCTGTGTGAGGCTTTCTGGAGCTTCCAGGTTAAGTGGTCAGATTAAGTCAGCTTTGTGGTACTACAATGATCATTCTGTCATTGTAGTCATCCTCCCCTCCCCCAGACTTCTATCTGGTTATCTATACCTTGTCTCAGAAACCCTCACAGATACCTATATATACCACCCATTGTTTAATCCAAGGTTTCAAATTCTGGAACCATTTGTTAAAAGTGTTTTTTGGACAGGGTTCTGGAGAGCTGGCTCAGCAGGTAAGAGCATATGCTTGCAAAGGCATATAGTTTGCAACTCAACTCCATGGTATATGACACCCCCTTCTGGCCTTCATGGGTGTAAGCTTAATTGATGAAGGTGTGGAGATTTGTTCCAAGAGAGTTTTCTCCGCTCTACTCATCTGCATTTGTTGCATACTAGCACCTTAGTATTGTCATCTCTGTGGGTTGTAATGTATTTGGATCGTCAATTGTGATTTCTCCAACTTTGTTGCCAGAATTGTTTTAGTAAAATGTTTCATTGATTTGGGATAAGTTACCAGTTTTACCCAAAGGCAGGTCAGATTTTATTCATATCATTGGATCTGTAATTTTGACTTAATTCTAAAGTCTTAACATCTAGGCATTCCAATCCCTGAACCTGGGATGTCTTTTCATTTATTTAGTTCATCTGTCTTTTTTCCAGTGTTTTAATAAACTATTTCTTAAATCTTTTTCTTTATATATATTTTTTGAAGTAGTTGTATGTCAGCTATGTATTTATTGACTTTAAGATCTAGGAACTTGGTCAGGCAGTGATGGCGTGTGTCTTTAATCCCAGTACTTGGGAGGCAGAGCAGGTTGGATCTCTGAGTTCAAGGACAGCCCAGAGCTACCCAGAGGGATCCTGTTTCAAAAACAACAATCAAACAAATAAAAAAATCTTGGGATAACTCTAACCAAGCAAATAAAAGAATTGAATAACAAAAAATTTTAAGGTATTGAAGAGAGACCATCAACCATGCTCATGGATTGGTAGGATTAATATTGCAAAAATGAAAAAAATATTGTATTGTGAAAATGGCCATTGTACCAAAAGCAGTCTATAAATTCAATGTATTCTCTAATAAAATTCCAAGATAGTTCTTCACTGAAATTGAGAAACAAATCTTCAACTTTATGTGGAAACAAAAACAAGCTGGATAGCCGAAATAATCCTGAACAATAAAACAACTGCTGGAGGTATTACAATACCATCCAGATTTCAATGTCTGTTATAGAGCCATAGTAATTAAAACAGCATGGCGTTAGCATTAAAATGAGTTGATCAGTGGAACTGAAGACCCAGTCATAATTTCACATACCTGATTTTTGACAGAATCCAAAATTACACGCTGGAGAAGCATATTCAACAAATGGTGCTGGTCAGAGTAGATGGCTGCATGTAGAAGAATTCAAATAGAACCATATTTATTTGATTCTGTACAAGTCTGAGCTACAAATGGTTCAAGGACCTCAGCATGAAGCCAGATACCCTGAATCTAATAGAAGAGAAAATGGGGAATATTCTTGGAACACAATGGCACAGAAAAGGACTTTCTTTCTGAATAGGACACCAATAGCATAGGCATTAAGACCAACAATCAGTAAACAGGACCTCATGAAAAGCTGTATAGTAAGAACAGCATAATTTGAACAAAGGATCAGGCTACAGAGTAATATATTTGACAGAGGGTTAATATCTAGTGTATATGACAAACTAAAAACACAAAAACATAAAACCCAATTATAAATGGGATGTAGATCTATACAGAGTTCTCAAAAGGTGAAACACAAATGCCTAAGAAACACAAAGAAGTGTTCAACAACTTTAGCCATCAGGGAAATGCAAATTAAAACTTTTTTGAGATTTTGCTCATATCCTAGTCAGAATGGCCAAGATTAATTAAGGAGGGGGGGCTGGGGAAGATAGCCCATACTGGAGACTAAGGAAAGAGGAATATTTACCTTATCCATTGTTGGTGAGAGTGCAGACAGGAACAGTCACTATAGAAATGGGTATGGGGGTTCCTCAGGAAGCTAAGAAAAGATCTATCTTAAGATCTAGTTATACCACTTTTGGGCACATAAGGATTTTGAGTATATTTTAGTATAGAGATACTTGCTCATCCATATTCATTGAATGGGTAATAAAAATGTGTTATAGTTACACATGAAGTATTATTCAGCTGGTAAGAAAAATAAAACTTGTCAGTAAATGTATTGATCTAGAAAAAAAATCATCCTGAGTGAAGGTAACCTAGATCCCAAAAGACAAGTATTGCATGTTTTCTTTTATATATGTTCCTCATGTGACTAACCCACATCAGAGAAGGTTCTTTTTGTAACAGATGGAAGTTAGCACAGAGACCCACAACTAGACAGTATATAGAGTGAGAGACTTTGGAGTACTCAGTCCTGAATGAGTTGTCTTCCTTAAACCCTTCTCCAGACTTGGTAGAGGAAGTGAAAAGATTGTTAGAACTATGGGTGATGGATGACTAAGGAAACAGTGTCTTCCAGACACCACAACTGATGCACATATTAATGCATGTGCGGGTTCAAGCCAGGTGGGTGGGGTCCTAGCACTGAGAAATGGAAGTGGACACAGTCTTCTGCCTTTAACCAAGAATTTATCTGCAGTTAGTACCTGGAGGGAAAGGGAAAGTCATTCCCCAATGAAGTGTAACTTAGGTACATCAACCACACTCCAGAGCAGGCCCTAAGTCTAAAAGTAGTTGGCCAACAGAAGATGATCTCTTGTATTTTTGTGGACTTTTTATTACATTTTGTTTGTCATTTTTGTTCTTAATTTGTCTTTTGCCTGTTTGTCTTGATTTTCACATATAGATTTTGTGCAAGTTTTGTTTTGGGGTTTTAGAGAGAGAGAACATAAAAGTTAGGTTGGCAGGGAGGTAGAGAGCATCTTGGAGGAGTTGCAGGAGAAGGGAAAACAAGCAAAAAATTATATGAAAAAATTTTAATTACTCAACTAGGATTATAGCATTTGCCTAGCACATATAAGACATTGGGTTCTGTCTCCAGAACCTGAAACAAACAAATTGATTTGGAGTCACTTGGTCTAGGTGCAATCCAATTCCTGAGTGCACTCTCTGTGCTCCACCACTCTGTCTTTTCATCTTAGTCCTCCCTTCTTTCCTCCCTGCCTTTTCTCCTGTATGCCTGGTTTTAAATAGAAGAAACCTTGTAGAAGTTAGGTAATTGCTATAGTGTCACAGGCCACTTTTAAAATAGCCTATTTATGACATCTAAATCTTAGCATACCAGTTTAAGTCTTGTGAGAGAAATGCAAACCTAGTTGCCCAATAAATAGCTTCCTATTTGTCTCCATCCTCTGCTTTCTTCAATTTCCCCAACCTTGGGTCTTTTTGTCACTCCACCTCAGCAGCCTGCTCTCCTTATGCAGCTCAATAGTCTCTTTAAGGAAGCATGTTTACTGTTGACAACTGCAGTCTTAGAATAAGTGTCAAGCAAGGAATGGTTGGTTTTAATAACCAAAGCATCCTGTGATCATTAAACAGTCATCGCCCAACAGTGCAGTTTGTTCTCCTTATATCATGGTCTCCTGCAGGACCTTCTAGGATGCATTTTCCAACACTGTTTTGTGTCAGTCCACAACTCAGTAATTCAAGTTAGCATCCAAAGTTAGCTTTTCTTTAGAAAACTTGCTTTCTTAACCCTACATATTGGGAGTAGGTGTTAAAATTTGGGCGCCCTTTTCACTTGTCTGCTGTTGAACCTCACCTGCTTTGCTTAGATTTCTCAGAGACTAACAAAGGCTACTCCCAGCCCACTGTGTGTTCTAAATTCTTCACTGTTTGTGCTGAATATTTAATAATTTAGAAGGAAGCCTTTCAGTACCTACTGACTGTTGTACCTCAAAGGTGTCAGCAGGGGTTTTCCTTTATTTTTTAAGCAACTAAGAATTTCTTTTGTTGTGTTTTTCTTCATAGACCATGTTTTGAAAGATTGTCTATGACAACTTAAACTTACTGAATAATTTACCATTGTTATTTACTGTTCATAATTGAGCTGTCATAACCTTTATGGTTTTTAGTGAGTTGGAAAGAACATGCATTCTAAAAGTGGTCAAGCACAGTTGAAAATTCTAGTCTTGCCAGTGAGCAGTGGTATAATGCTGAGCAGGTTATGTTGATATTTCTAGTCTCTTTGTCTTTAAAAATAGGTATAGTGATCTCAGTGTTGAAAGATTCTTGGGAAGATTTATATACCTAGCTATTCTAGTATAATCCTAGTATATTTCATGTTAAATCTTATCTGTATTCTGAAATCCATTTTAATACCTAGTTATATGCTGCTTACATAGAATCAAAAAAATAAAGATGCCTCTTAATCTTCTCTAGGTGGTAGTTTGTGTTTGGCTGGCTTTATTATGAGTTTCAGGCAGTGCTTGGGGGTAATCTCTGTTGGAGAGATCATGCCGATGTTGACCATGATACAGTATCTCAGCTTACTTTCTGTACTCGTACATTTTACATCTTACCTTCATTTCTCCCTGATACCACATTACAAGGTTGTTGTCTCAGTGATGAAGCATTGATGAGGTCCATGTTTGATCTAAAGATATATGTACTTCAAATTTGCAATGTGTACTTTGACCAGAATGTGAATAATTGAAAATTAAAAATCTGCACTAGGAAGAAAAGTCTGAAAAGAAGCAAGTGTGATTAATATGCTGAATTGTTTGAAGCAGCATTGATGGACACTTTGTTGTTGCCTTGCAGTCCACAAGAATTGGAATGTCTGTCAACGCTATTCGCAAGCAGAGTACAGACGAAGAAGTCACATCTTTAGCCAAATCACTCATCAAATCCTGGAAAAAATTATTAGGTAAAATTGATCTTTGCTTGCATATATTTATGATGTCCTGGCTTTTTAAAATGGTTGCTGCATTTTTTTTGTCTATGAATGTAGACCTATTGAAATCAGTGCTTTGCAATAAGGATGAGGGGCCTGGTTTAACTTGCTTGCAAGTTATAGGCTGATAAACTCAGTGGTCCCTGACAGTTGTAACTATAATAAGCTTTTTCGGAGCTTTTTTTTTTTTCCAAGGGAAAGGTTGTGTGTGCTTTCTGAAGTGATTTTTTTTTTTCCTGAAGTGATGTTAAAAAAAACAAAAACTCTTTTTGTTTTTAGTAAGGCTAAATTGAGTGCCCTTAATACCTTTGTCCAGATCAGCCTTTGTTATTTTCCATCTTTTTTTTTTTTTTTTTTTTTTTTTTTTTAAGACGGGATTTCTCTGTGTAGCCCTGACTGTCCTGGAACTCAGTCTATAGACCAGGCTAACCTCTGCCTTCTGCGTGCTGGGATTAGAGGCATGTGCTACCACAATACAGTGTTATTTTCCATATTTAATCATCTCTTTAAAAAATCATTTGAAGTTGGGTTAAATATGTCATTTTAAACTTAAGTATACCTCTCTTAGTTCCCTTCATTTCTTTGAGATAGGCTCCTACTATGTTGTGTAAACTGGACTGGGACTTGGGATCCTGCTTCAGCTTCCAGAGTAGCTAGGATTATAGGCATGTGCTGGCATTCTTAGCACAAGCATATTTTCTCATACTGTTGTAATAAAGGAAAGCAAGCATTGGTGTAATATTTTAGTTTATAGCCCATGCTATGGTTTTTTACTATCTTTATGTACTTGTTACTTTTTGTTAACTTGATACAAGCTGGGGTTATCTAAAAAGAGGGAACCTCAACTGAGAAAATGCCACCATAAGATTGACCTGTGTGTGGGACATTTTCTTGATTAATAATTAACGTGGGAAGTTCTGACCCACTGTTGTTGGTGACACCACTGGAAAGGTGATCTTGGGTTATAAAAGATATCAAACAGCCTTGGGGTGCAAGCCAGTAAGTAGCATTCCTCCATAGTCTCTGCTTTATTTCATGATTCTCAGTTCCACCATGCTTGAGTTCCTGCCTTTGCTTCACTCAGTGATATAGGGTAAGCCAGATAACCCTTTTCTATCCACGTTACTTTTGGTCAGTTTTTTGTTACAGCAACAGAGAAGCAAACTAGAATACATTGTAATGTCCTAATTTACCTCCTCTAATATCTAGTCCAGAATCATGTTCTCTAAACTGAGCAGTTCTTTAAGAATTCAATTTTTCATCTATGATGGCATTTTGGAGACCATAATAGCCTTCTCTTGTTCTGCTTTGACATTCATTCATTCATTTGATCATGTGATCCAGGTTAACCTTGAACTTAGTGTAGCTAAGGATGACTTTAAACTCCTTATCCTCCTGTCTCTGCCTCTCAAGTACTAAGATGACAGTCATGCAGGCCAGAGGTGTGAGAGGCTGCAAGAGCCAGAGAAACATGTAGGTGCCCACATGGAGGACATAGCAGGCCAGATTCCTAAGAAAGCAGGTAGAGAGAAACAGCAGCTGGAAATGGGACTTCAGAATTGGAATCAAATTTTATGGGTAGCAGAAGCCAGCAGCAACAAGTGATCTGTACATACCTTAGGAGATTCAGATCAGCAGCATGCTACAGAGTCCTGAATTCCTTGGGAGGGAACTCCTTTATGCCACTCCTGAGTTCTGGCACCAGATGTATGAAAAAAGAAATAAAAAGGAGGACATGACTATTCCTGGGTATGTTGGAGGAGATAGCTTATTGTAGACAAACAGGAGACATAGCTCTAGGCAGAGAAATCTGGGAGAGTCCAGAGTGGTCATGACCCTAAGCCATGTGTGGAGAAGAAGCAGGGGAGAGGACAGGAAAACAGGCCCAAAGGAGGAGGGGTAGCCAAAATGACTGAATTATATAGGGAGGAGCATGTGGAGGAAGGACAGCCCAGCCTCTGGGCTGGAGAATTTGGTGTTGGGAATGGGGAACCAACCAGCAAGGGCCCCTGGAACAGTTTTGAACGAACTGAGAGTTGCAGGGGGAGCCCCACAATCAGGTCCATTTTCATAATGTGTCTTAGTGTTTCTGTTTCTGTGAAGAGGCACCATGACCATGCAGTTCTTATAAAGAAAAACCATTTAATTTGGAGGTAGGTTACATTTTCAGAACATAGCAGCATAAAAGCAGGCATGGTGCTGGAGAAGGAGCTAAATCTTGATGCTGTAGGCAACAGGAAGTGGTCTGAGATACTAGATGTGACTTAAGCATATGTGAGACCTCAAAGCCTGCCTTCACAGGGGCACATTTCCTCCAACAAAGCCACACATACTCCAACAAAGCCATACCTCCTAATAGTGCCACTCCCTATGTGCTTATGTGGGCCAATTACATTCAAACTATCACACTATGTTAAATAGGCACCTCAGCCATTTGTCCTAGGTTTAAGACCTAACACCCCTCTTGTTTCTTGTTGGTATGTTCCTTTATTCTGTTTTGTCTACTGTTTTCTCATGGTTAGATCGTGTTTTGCATCCACAGTTGGAATACCCCATAAGTGTATCAGATTCTTGTATACTTTATTGTCCTTGTAGCAGTCTATGAGAGGTGTTTTAAGACCCTGAAACTGTCTTACATTTTATCAGATCCCCTCCTCCAATTTGTATCATAATTTTTCTCTAGCCTACTCTTTATAGTTATGGTTACTATTTTTATTTCTTTATTCTTCAAGTAATATTAAACTGTTAGCATTGTCTTTCGTGGATTTACAGTGTTTTATATAGAAAGTGAGATACCCCAGAGAGCAAAGTATATATAAGTGAAATAATTTCTACAGTAGACCTAAATGGTTTGTAAACCTAGCTCAGGGACAGTTTGGACTGGCTTAAGATGAATGCTTCTTTTCACTGCAATGATTGCATTAACTCATGTTATATCTGTTTACAGTGTTTGGTTGTTTTCCTCTCAGTCAGTGGTTCTCAACCATCCTATGCTGTGACCCTTTAGTATACACTTCTACATGTTGTGGTGATCCCAACCATAAAATTATTTTGTGGCTACTTCGTGACTGTAATTTGCTACTATTATGAATCATAATGTAAGTGTCTATTATGCAGGATATCTGAGATATGACCCCCAGATTGAGAACCACTGCTCCGAGTCTTAAAGGGTGCAGACTCTGCTCTGTTCATAGATCATTGAGTAAAAGGAAGCGCTGAATGGACCATCCTGATGCTGGAATGGTCTCTATGAAGATGCTCTTCATTTACTCTCCCAGGAAACTTAGCTGTGCTTTAGGTAGCATTTTAAAGTTTTTAACTTCTTGAAAGATCATTCAGATACTCTTGTTCTCTGTGCCTGGGCTCTCATTTTCAGGATGGCTGTGTTTGCATTTGTCCACACTCTTTCCTTTTACTTTTTCCTTTTAAACTTGCAGGTGCTGGTGTGAATTTCTGTTTCTTTCCAAGTGACAATTTATAAGTATTGATTGTACAGCTATTGTGAAAATACCCCAGTATATATGCTGATATAATAGCGTGCTTATACTTTATGTACAGTTGTGGGAGATTGAAAAATTTGATGGTGAATGGATTTGAGTTTTTGTTTTCATTTATTTATTTGTTTTTGGTGTGTGTAGGCTATTAATGTACAATACTTTTTAATTGTTTTTTTGTTTTTAACAAAAGTAGACTGTTTAGGAATTTGATAAATTTTTCAGATGGCCCATCAACTGATAAAGACCCTGAAGAAAAGAAAAAAGAACCTGCAATTTCATCACAGAATAGCCCTGAAGCAAGAGAAGAAAGGTAGTTTACTTTATTTAAATTAATTTCTGCTGAGGTTGCTATTTTAGGGTTTCTAACATTCGGGGGGCAGAGGCAGGCAGATATCTGAGTTGAAGACCAGCCTGATCTACAGAGTGAGTTCCTGGATAGTCAAGGCTACACAAAGAAACCCTGTCTCCAAAACAAAACAAAGCCATCATCAAAAGGGGTTATTTTTATTTCACTTACGTATCCCAGGACATAGCTCATTGAAGGAAGCCAAAGCAGGAACTGAAGCAGAGGCCATGGAATGAATGCTGCTTACTGGCTTGCTTCCTGTGGCTTGCAGCTGTCTTGTACAACCCAGGACCACCTTCTCAGTAGTAACACCAGTCCCCAATGAGCTGGACCCTCCAATATCAAATATTAATCAAAAATGCCACAGACTGTTCTACTGGGAGAGGCATTTTCTCAGTTGAGGTTCCTCTTGACAGACAACTCTAGCTTGTGTCAAGTTAGCAAAAGCAAACAAGCAGCCAGGATAAGTAGATAGTTTACCTGCTCCTTCACTTTGCTCTGATCTTCTGATTGTGCCTGCACTCCTCTTTCCACTATCTAGTCAGATGGAACTAGTACACATGTATGGCCATCTTAAAAAAAATTTAGCAAGATTTCTTAGAATTTTAGAAGAAAAATAGAAGTCTATGTAAGTAAAGTCAAATAATTTATATTATACTGAGTTAGGGTTTCTATTGCTGTAAAGAGACACTATGACCATGGCAACTCTTATAAATGACAATATATAATTGGGGTGGTTCACTTACAGCTTAAGAGGTTTAGTCCGTTATCATCACGACAGGGAGCATGGTTCTGGAGAAGTAATTGAGAGTCCTACCTCTTGCAGGCAATAGGAAGTCGACTGACACTGGGAATAGTTTGAGCATATGAGACCTCAAAGCCCACCCTCACCTTGACACACTTCTTCCAACAAGGCCACACTCACTCCAACAGAGCCATGCTTCATAATAGTGTCACTCCCTATGAGCTTATGGGGGCCAAAACATTCTTAATAAGTTTTAGTAAGGTTGCTAGGATGAGCAGTAATAGATGTGATAGTGAAGGCACTGATTGGGAATTAAAAATGGCCCTTGAGCTCATTTTCATTTGCCTTTTGAGCACTTTTCCTCCTAACTTTAGCCATTTAGAAGAAAATGGATTTTTAGTGCATTTTTATTAGTTTAGGTATCTATCCAGAACAGGACACAGGAGGAAACAGGATTATCAAGACCAGTTTGATGTATAATATAAAGGAAGTTGTAAGTCAGATCTGAGTGGCTTGAGGTTGAGCAAGGGTTTACATTTTTTTTTTTTTTTTTTTTGGTTTTACGAGTCAGGGTTTCTCTGTATTGTATTGTTTTGGAGATCCGCCTGCCTCTGCCTCCCGAGTGCTGGGATTAAAGGCGTGCGCCACCACTGCCTGGCATAAGGGTTTACATTTTGGTGCAAGAATTTGAAAAACTTGATTTAAATGGTTCAAACCATTTTTTTTAAGGCATCACATTTTAAAAGTTAGGGTTGAATATTCGTGAAGCAAGACTCCATCAGTACACACAGGCAGCTTACAGTGCTTTGGCTAATTGTTGGCCATAGAAAAAGAAGCAAAAGCCTTTAAAGTATTTCAGAAGTTTTGTTTTGTTTTGAACAGTGGTTTGGGGCTGGAGATGTAGTTCAGTTGGTATAGTGCTTGCTGAGCATATGTAAAGCCTGGATTGAGTTCCCAGAACCCATAAAATGGGGCATAGTGGCACACATCTGTAATCTCTGTACTTGGGAGGTAGAGGCAGAAAGATCAGAAATTTAAGATCATTTTTGTCTTCATAGAGAATTCAAAGCTAGCCTGGGCTACATAAAACTCTGTCTCAGAAATGAACAATTCTTTTTTCATTTACTACTTACAGGTGCCCTGCTATAGTTGAAATTAGTTCTTGCTTTTGGGAAACTTGGTCTCGCAGGGGAGAGTGATAATAGCTATGTGCAAACCTCTGTATAGACAATATTTTCTAAATACAGGTGGTCATAAGAGATGGCTTCTGAAAAAACTGGCTAGAGTTAGATGACATAGATGACTCGTGTCCATAGTGACCTTCTTTGATGTTTAACAGTAATTTGTCCCGGAGAGAAGCAGAGGAGATGTGTTCTTAACAGCAAACACAGCATGTTAGTTCTACAGTAGATAGTAGGGGATTGACACCTTAACAAGGCTTTGGAAAAGGTTTGTGATAGATACCATTAATGTTGCAATACTTAATTGAGGTTTCACAGAAACATTTTGAAAAGAACTTGTTTGGGTACATGTCCAGTAGAAGAATATAATCAGATGTAATTAAACTTTTGGGGTTGACTAGAAAATTATTAGAGTATTCAGATGAAGGTACTCTTTCTGGGAAGAAATCTTTTTACAGTCTTGATTTATTACACCTGCCCTTGTTCTTAAAGTTTCATTAGAGCCCTGTTGTCTTGACTAGTATGGAGGTTTTGAAACAATTTTTTTCCTCTTTCTAGTTTGGCTGCTTTGCCCTGTTTTCTGGCTCCCTCCCTCATCCCTTTCCTCAAGCCAAGATCCTTGATTTCTATGTACTGTACTAAACTATAATGTATACTTTTTCCTGTTAGAAATCATGTAGGGCTGACTGTGATGGTACTCACTTTAAATGTAGCACTCATGAGGCAGAGGCAGGAAGACCTCTGAGTTGAGGTCAGCCTGGTCTACATAGATAGCTCAAGATTATCCAGGGCTACTTAGTGAGACGGTCTCAAAACAGGAAAAAAGAATGTTGCTGTTAATGTCTAGAGGAAAATAAAGTCAGACTATTTGGTTTTGTTTCTAATTTCTTTTTTGAGACAGGGTTTCTCTGTAGCCTTTGCTGTCCTGGAGCTCACTGTGTAGACCAGGCTGGCCTCATACCTGGAGATCTAACTGCCTCTGCCTCCCAAGTGCTGGCATTAAGGGCGTGCACCACCACCACATGGTTGTTTTGTGTTCTTAAGACATGAGATTGAGCTATTGAATTGACATTTTTTAAAATATAGTAGTGACTAAAATACTATCTCATTTAGACCCCAAGTTTTAGTTTTAGAGAACAATAATAATGTTATTTAGAAGGTTTTCCTGATTGTTTTCTGGTCTGAGTACCCGCATATGTGTATTTTAGTAGTTCCAGCGGCAATGTAAGCAGAAAGGATGAGACAAACGCTCGAGACACTTATGTTTCATCTTTTCCTCGGGCACCAAGCACTTCTGATTCTGTGCGGTTAAAATGTAGGGAGATGCTTACTGCAGCTCTCCGGACAGGAGGTAAGTTTAGTGTTTGGTCTTTAACCTTTTGCACTCCCATGCCATCTCCACCATCATGTTGGTGTTTTACAGTATCATTCTGCTGATAGCTCCCACTGCTTAGTGTAGCAGTTCTTGGAGGGCAGTAGGAAGCAGGACACTAGGACCCCCAACAAGTAGAGCCTTCTAGGGTGTTAATGCTTCTCCTGTTTCATGCTAATTTAAGCTTTTCCCACATAAATCTTTGATCTGCAAACTCATTACCTTGACCTTAGGTTGATCAGTAACAACATGATTTGTTAAGTGTTAGTATGACATATAGTATTTAAGTTTTATAGTAATAATTAAAAGCAATATACAATTTACAGTTTACATTTCTATGGGAAAATACTAAGAAATACTAATCCTTAGACTTAACATGCAAATGTTTGACTTTAATATTTCATATATAGTGAAACACCAGATGGTATCCCTAAAATCTGTAAAATGTATGTGTATAAGAAAGTAAGTTTGAGTACTGAGCTGAACTCAAGAAAGCCAGTAACAGAGAGGGAGGACTGATGATCAAAGGGATTAAGACTGGGCTGGTTTAACCCCCAGAAACAGCTGACCAGACAAAGGTTAACTCTTGAATCCCAGGCATCAGCCTGGGAATCCAGCATGGGACTGATCAAGACCTCCTGAATCTGGATGTCAGTGAGGAGGCCTAGGGAATCTGTTGAGCCTTGGGCAGCAGATCAGTACCCATCCCAAGTATACACACAGACTTTGGACTCCCATAGAACAATGTGAGGCGCACTCTCACCCTGAACTCTTGGGGAAGGGTCTAGGCCCTGCCCTATATGAAATGACAGACTATGGACACCCCCATGGAGGGCCTCACCCTCCCTGGGGGAATGAAGGGTTAACGGAGGGGGGGGGGCTGGGGGGAGGGCATGGGAGGAGGGGAGGGAATGGGAGAGGGACCTGGAACTGACTTTTGAAGCAACCTCGTTTCTTATCTAAATTTAAACTGGAAAATAAAATAAAATTAAAAAAAAAGTAAGTTTGAAAGGCAGGATGGTTGACATCTTATACAAACTAACCTTCTTTCTCTTCAGTTATGCTGAACTATGCGTAACTAGAGTGACCAGTTTTGCTACTTACTTGGCCCTTTCTACTTGAATTTCCTGACTGCCTCTGTCTGCTTTTTCCCTTTTTCTATCTGGAAGTTCTATTTTTCCTCCTATCCTTTTTGAGCATCTGTGGTAGTCTTCTGAGTGCTTCTGTGTATGTGATTGGCAGATGATGAGTAGTTTCTGCGTTGAAGCCTCAGTCACAGGAGGCAAGGTATTTCCTCCTAATACCTGTTCTTTCTCTTCTCAGTTGAAGCACCCAGAATTGATGGTATTATGAAGTGAGGAATCGCCTAGTGTATGAATTACTTTCTCAGTAAGAGGAGTTATCAGGGCAAGAATACTGTGGCACAGATCTTAGATCAATCCAAGAGCAAAGGAATAGTGGGCAGTAAGCTACCAGGTCCTAATAAACTCAGAGATTTTGTGGAGGAAGCAAATGGGGTTGAAGAAATAGGAGTGGTTTGCTTATACTTTACAATAATGAGTTTTTCATTCCTGTTTCCAGATGACTACGTTGCAATTGGAGCCGATGAGGAAGAACTGGGATCCCAGATTGAGGAAGATATCCTTTGTGTTCACATCTAAAGCTGTGTGTAGTAATCTGTGAGGTTAATTGTCCTTTTCCTTCTGCTACATAAGTCAGAGGTTTATCTGTACTTTCTTAGGAAGGAGAAGGGCACTCATGTTTAATCTTCATTTCATTCGAATCTAAACCGCATATGATTGATGGTAGCTTTGTTTTTCTGCCTTTGCATATTGGGAATGATAGCATGTATAATGGCAGGGAAGATGTGAAACTCACACAGGAGGAGGGCTTTATCAGGGTACTCTGTCCCTGTTCCTTCTGCCAGGACATGTGTTCATGCCTGGCACCATAGAAAAGACTCTGCACGAGAGGTCTTGCATGGGGAGTACCTATGTGGCAGGGTAAGATGGGACGTCCTTTTTGAAGAACTCGCCTTTGTAAAAAGCGAACCCCTTTGGGCCTTGGTCTCTGTAAAACATGAGCCCCTCTGGACCTTGGTCTCTCCTTTGACCTGGCCTTCTGTGGTCTTCTCACTGAGCTGGTAGCTGAGATGAGCCCCAGTGCTGCCTCAAATGGTCTCTTCTCATAAGACCTCTGAGGGAGCTATGGCCTTGCGCATAGATTCTGAGGTCCTTAATGGGATTCCGACTTGGGCAAGTTAAAGCTTGTTTGGTTTTAGAACTCCTTTCAAACATCTGCTAACTTGGGTTGTGCCAGAGTTACTCTTTGGAATCATGTTGCTGCGTGGTTCTGACATTAAGCATTTAAAAGAGCATCAATCACTTAGTCATAGTTGTAAAGATTAGCACTATTGACCAATTACAGATGAAGGATCTGAAAGAAGTGCTATTTTATTTATCTAGATTGGAAACCATTTTCATGAATTGATTAGAAAAGTTAAGAATTAATTATGAAGAATTATGAACAAAAAACGTGTTATCTTTATAACAGTCTTTTTTCCTTAATGGCCAAATACCTATATATCAAGAAATAAGGAATACAGACATGAAATACAAAAACAGAGTACGGAGTAGGATATCAAATCTTAAAGATGCAAAGAATCCAAATTTAAGGAAAAATGTGCTTTGTGGGAATATTCCTCCTGACCTGTTTGCTAGAATGACAGCAGAGGTGAGCAAGTGCTGTATAAATATCTCATATGTAAAAATGACTACAAAAATAGCTATGATATATTTTATATACTAGAAAACATTTAAGATGCTGGGCGGTGGTGGTACACACCTTTAATCCCAGTACTCAGGAGGCAGAGGCAGGTGGATCTCTGAGAGTTCATGCCTAGACTGGTCTATAGATCTAGTTCTCTACACAGAGAAGCCCTGTCTGTGGGGCAGGGGGACTTTAACATTAGCTATATTGTATCTACAATCTGTTTATTTTCTTAACCATCTAACAGTGTGATATTAACTTTTTAAATAGCTAATAAAGTTTGCTAGTATCTTTGAGAAATTTTGTTTTAAAATCTTACTAAAGTATCTATAACTAGCAGACAGGGGTAACACACCTTTAATTCCAGCACTCGGGAGTCAAAGGCAGGTGGATCTCTGAGTTTGAGGACAGCCAGGGCTACACAGAAACTTTGACTCAAAAACAAAACAAAAAATGTAAACCTTGCACAGAGCAGAGAACACAGTGTAATCAGATTCCATCTGTCTGTCATGGGTTCCACTTTCTCCTACTTTTGAGAATTTCTCATCATGTTTTGGTGGGGTGGGTTTTAACACAGAGTTGCTTTGTGTATATCCCTGGCTGTCCTGGAACTACCTTTGTAGACCTGGCTGACCTTGAACACAGATCTGCCTGCTTCTGCCTTCTTGAGTGCTAGGGTTAAAGGTGTGTACCACCACTGCCTGGCTTGTCATCCTTTTTTTAATCATACTTCTATTTTCTTCTTTTCTATTGAATTTATGTCAAGCAAATCCCAGGCATTTATCCTTTTAACTCTATATACATGAATGCATATACATATTTTTAAATATATTTAAAATAATTTTTCTTATATAACTGAATTGTCATCACTATGGTCAGCAATGCTAACAGTATGCCCTTGCCATGATAACGATACTCATATTCAACTTTTCCTGATTATGCATTAGGTGTACCAGGAGCTGAAGTCTACACATTACCTTTGACTTGGGCTTTTAAGCTAAAGCAGTTTCCTTTTTGTGTGTGGGGATTTTGAGTCAGGGTTTCTTTGTGTAGCCTTGACTTTCCTAGAACTCCCACCAGGTTGGCTTCAAAACTCATAGAGCTCTGCCATCCTTTGCCTGCCAAGTGCTGAGATTAAAGATGTGCCACCACACCTGTCTTAAGGCCGTCTCTTTTGCCCCTCACATTCCCTCTTCTCTACCTTTTTCCTCTGTGGTGCTGCTGTGTTGAAGGACCAGTGTCCTGTGTCCTTCCCTCACCCCCCCCATTATAAATTTCTGTGAATACTGCATTAGATCATTCATATTCCTTAAGTTTTTTGTGCCCTGATTTCTTGTATAATTTATTATATATACTCAAGCTTCCCTTTCCTTAAGTGATGGATTTTGCTCCAGGTGCATTCTGTCAGAAGGCACATAATGTCTTGTTGCTTTGCTCATGGCATGCTGAGGTTTGTTAGAGGCTTTGGGTAATGTAAAATGCTCCATTAATCTCTTATCCAATGAGTTCATCCACTGATGATCATGTGTTACTTTGAGTAGAATAACCACTATAAGAGAGAAATTTCTAAAATGTCATTATAGCTAGAATCTTTTATAGAAGCAGTTTTGCATATAAATTCAGACTGTAGTTACGTGGTTGGTTTGATAAGAAAGGATAAACTTAAAATTCTTTGTGTTAAGCTATTATCAGAATGTTAGCTGCTGTTTGCTTTCATATGTACATTCCCTCTACTAAGTACTATCAGGGCTTGACTATTTATCTCCCTTGTGGGGTTTTTTTCCTTGCAGTAATTATTTCAGTAATTGAAGAAGCTGTCTTATTTTGGACCACCAGCCTCTACTTGGTGCTTCTGCCCATTTGACCCATACATGAGAGTCTCTGCTTTCTGGCATCAAAAATAACTGCCATATTCTGTGTACTTGGGTTCTGAACTGTACTGGCGTCTTGCCTTGCCAGTGAACTTGTAGTGGTGACCACACCTTTTGGGCATGGTTTGTCTGACACATACATGAGCCAGTGTAAGGTAGAGGAGGGACTGGCTAAAGTTCTCTTGAGTTGTGGAGAGCATTGGGAGAGACTGCATCTTCTAGAGCCGGAAGAATGCTGTGATTATTTACTCTTAATCGGTGTAAGTCCTTCCCTAATAAACACCTATTTATCATTTATCTTGGGTCTGGTGAACTCATTTAAACCCTGCCTTCACTAAACAAATCCAGATGTTCCTCCAAAGGCTGCTGGCTTCTTTGATGATGGTGTTGATAATATTTAGAACACCTTGTGGATACCAGAGGTGCTGATTGCTATAGGTTTACATTGTTAGTTTATAAATAGTATGTATACCTAATTTTCACATAAAAATTTATGAGTCTTTAAAGAGATTTTGAAAGGAAACAAATTATTTTAATCTTCTGAGGGAAAAATATTAGTTTCAAACTTTAAAATTATATAAGCTGGTTTTACTTTTATTATTAATTATTGTTAAGCTCTGTGAACATGAAAGCATTCACTATATAGAGCAGTGTCAAAAGTATCTGTAATTCATTGATATTGCTATTTCTATCATAGGAAATGGCCAGTGATGAGCTCAAAGAAATGAGGAAAAACCTGACCAAAGAAGCCATCAGAGAGCATCAGATGGCCAAGACAGGTGGGACCCAGACTGACTTGTTCACGTGTGGCAAATGTAAAAAGAAGAACTGCACTTACACACAGGTTTGTGATTGACTGTGGTCTCGTGTGCACATTAAAGTTTCTCCCCTGTTTCAGAGTAAAGATAATTACAGAACCTGATATTGTTCAACAAATGATAGGACTTTTCTAGTGAAAAAGTGCTTTCTCAGTAGATTCCAACTAACTGAAAATAAGTTGATATTTGTGTTGTGATGAAAATATTTACTGTAAACTGTAGCATTTATATAAAATACAAGGTGTACTACAGTGGCAGCTATTTGTAACAGCTCAGAAGCAGTTGCTAGTTACTGTGTCATAGCAAGCAGGACCACAGGGTTTAAGGGCAGTTCTCCACTCTCACATGACCTGTGGTACTTTAAGCCAAACTGCCTTACAGATAGTTGCCTGTTCCTACTTGTAGCTTATGATATAATTGACCTTTTTGGGGTTTTTTGGTTTTTTTTTTTTTTTTTTTTTTTTGGTTTTTACAAGACAGGGTTTCTCTGTATTGTTTCGGAAGCTATCGGTCCAGCCTGGCTTCGAACTCACAGAGATCCACCTGCCTCTGCCTCCCGAGTGCTGGGATTAAAGGCGTGTGTCACCACCGCCCAGCCCCTTTTTGGTTTTTTTTTTTTTTGGTTTTTCAAGACAGGGTTTCTCTGTAGCTTTGGAGGCTGTCCTGGAACTCGCTCTGTAGACCAGGCTGGCCTCGAACTCACAGAGATCCACCTGCCTCTGCCTCCCGAGTGCTGGGATTAAAGGCGTGCGCCACCAACGCCCGGCTCTTTTTGGTTTTTAATAGCATAAAAAACTGTTAACAAATGTCTTTGTTATTTCTATATAAAAATACTTTTACCACTATCTTCATTTTCATTTGCCAAATAGGATTTTTTCTTTACTTTTGTTGTTGTTCTATCTCTATAATCTACTGACCTTAGAAATTTTCTCTTAAAGGTCATATGTTTCAGGTTGTGGGTATAGGTGTTGATCCCACCAAACAAAAGTAAAGATCCTTACCCAAATTCTTTTAGTCAGATTATGATAGCTTTATTTTCTGGTTGACAGGATAGAAACTCTGCTATCTCCCTAAAGCAGGGTTTGAGAAAATAGCAGTGATGGAGACAGTGGGGTCATATAGCTTGAAAAACTGAAGACTAGGGGATTTCCAAGGGTTGGGGATTTTTTTTGGGGGGGGTAACATAGGAATTTGACACTTAACATTTTAACATTATTTGGCAAAACTTATCAAGGGAGAGTCAGGATATGGTCAGATACAGGGTGTAGAACACATTAGATTTCAGAAAAATGAGTAAAAAACTCTGGTGGTTTGTTGTTGATTTTTGGTTTAGTGTTTTTCGAGACAGGGGTTCTCTGTATAATAGCCCTGGCTGTCCTGGAACTTGGCTTTGTAGATCTGAACTCACAGAAATCCACTTACCTCTGCCTCCAAAATTTTGAGATTACAGGACTATTTATTTTTATTAGAATTAATAAAAATTGTATTACTATTTTTAGAATGTTTCCTTTCCTCTTCCTCCTCCTTTTAGATTTATTTATTATGTGTTTTGCCTGCATGTTGTCATGTATCACATCTTGGTGCATCTTGGTACACTCAGAGATCAGAAGAGGGTATCAGATCTCCTGGAACTGAATTTATAGATGGGTGTGAATGAAGTACCATGTGGATGCTAGGAATAGAACCCTAGTCGTCTGCAAGAACAGTGCTCTTAACTGCCGAGTCATCTCTTCAGTCCTTAGAATGATTCTTTATTTTGTGGGCTTTGAGTTAAAAGTCATATTAATGATTTTCTAGAAATTTCTGGTTTTTGAAGTGATGCTAAATTAGAATTTCATCATTGCTAAATTTAAATGTATCTTGTTCACAATGCAGTATTATTGTTATCCCTGTTTATGCTATAACTTAATAAACTTAAGAACAGCTGAGGTGCAATGCTGAAACAGGGCCTTACTGTGAAATAGATGCTGGCTTTCAAATGTCATCCTCCTGCCTCCATTTCCCATGTATTAGAATTACAGGTATTTCCCACAATGCCTACCTTTTAAGAGTAAACTCTTAAGTAAGTAGAGATGACCTTGAATTTATGATCCTCCTGCCTCTACCTCCCAGATGCTAGGATTCCAGGCAAGTGCCATCATACCTGATATAGATTGTGGTGCTAAGGATTGTACCTGGGACTTTGTCCATGCTAGGCAAGCGCTTTTACAGCTTAGCTACATCCTCAGCCCTGTTCTTCCTAAGTGTTTTGTTTGGGGTGGGTGGGGGGGCATTTAAGACATGGCCTCAGTTTTCTGGTTTTGCTTTTCTGCTTGCAAAAGTGAAACTCCATTCCCATTAAACTGGGTAGCCATTGACCATTGTGAGTGATATTGCCATCTACTTGAGTGAATAGTAAGACAGTAAGTCTTTGAGATGATGGCTTCATTTCTTTGGCATTTTTGTGCCACGCCCAGCTTTTTTGAAATCATCTTAGTCACCAGTGCAGTTTTTGATCAGATGCATTTATTCTTTTGTGTTGCTTCTAACACATGTACTGTTTTTAAAAGATACTCTTCAATATCCTTATACAGAGATTTTTTCTGTTTCTTCCCCTCCCCACACCCCTTGGCTTTTTGAGACAGGGTTTCTCTGTGTAGTCTTGGCTGTCCTGGAACTAGCTCTGTAGACTAGACTGGCCTGGATCTCATAGATCTGCCTACCTCTGCCTCCTGAGTGCTGGTAAAGGCCTGCACCACCCCCGCCTGGCTGAGATCTTTGTGTTTCTAATTATATATCAGAATAGATGAGAATCCCAAGTTCCTATGGCAGAGATATGGGTATTTGACCTGCTTTTAGAGTGGTTGTGTCAATGATGTGTGTCATAAAGAAATGATTTGAATTTTATTAACATCTTTAGGTCATTAACATGTTAATTAATGGTTTTCATATTTATTAATCATTTATAAAAAGCATGTAATGGGTGACTTTTAGAGGATTTTTCCATTTAATTGGATAAATTGCACATGAAAGATAAACAGAAGGATTTAGAAAAATGACATTTGAAAATATATGCTCCTTTGCCAGTAGTGTATTTGAACTTGTATAATGCTCTTATGCATCTTAGGGTAATGTCACTGGAGTTACTGTATATCTTTATGTAGTATGTTCTACATAGGTTGACTTATTTTTAGTGTGAATTCAAAAAGTAGTATTTTTCATTTAATTTTGCTATAGGTGCAAACTCGTAGTGCTGATGAACCAATGACAACATTTGTCGTATGTAATGAATGTGGAAATCGGTGGAAGGTATGGCACCCCCTTGATTGTGTATCATAACTTACTGTCTCTTCATAGCCTTCTAAGATAGTAATATGTACCCTCCTAGAGCTTGATCTTAACAACACATATGTTTTAATGAAGGAATGGCAAGAATCAATATTAAATTACCTTCAAAAATTCCTATATATACTGTAGTCATTAAATTATTTCCAATCTTGTTCTCTCAGAAAAGCTGTGTATATTTATTACTTATTTTAAAAATTTTGATCTTGGACAATTTTATAGAGTTCTGTATGTTATCAATGTTTATTTTAGGAATTCTAGGGGGGCTTTGTTGTGGTTTGGTAGCTTTTCAGTAAGCCTTCATATTGCCTCTAAATTTGTGTCATACAGGCAAGTTTTTTTTGAATTATATGTTTTTAAGTGTTTTTCTATTGTGATGTTTATTGTATGTGTTCTTTGCTGATTCCCACATGTATCTCTCTCCCACCCCTGTCAATCACCCTTCTCTACAAGGCCCTTTCTCACATTCTTGTTGTTGTGTTTTGTGGTGCACTGAGTTTAACCAGAGCAATCTGTGTGACTAAGAGTTGTGAACTGTCCATTGGTGTTTCCATTGCTCCTCCCCAACAATCTACCAACAGTTAAGCAAGGAGTAGAACTATTGAGTCCCTCCTGACTCATGAGTAACTTCTGATGACAGTTCCATTTCTGTACAGGCCAATGGAAAGCTAAATTTGAGTGATTTTTTTTTTGAGCTCCAAAAACAAAATATAAAATTAGGATTGCACATTACTAGTAAAAGTCCCATGGTCGCTTATTATTAATAATGATGAGTCTATTAGTTGTGTGAAATTGGAAAATAGATGTCCATAGTAGGGTTAGTCACACAATGATTGGAAATCCCATGCATCTCGCCCTCACTGGTCTATTGTTTCCTCATGTAGTAGGCATGAATAATGCCCGAGCTCCCCATCTGTCATCCCTTCCTTTTCCAATCCTGTTGAACAAACTTGGCTTGTCTAGATAGCTCTCTTAGTTCTGTTATACATGCTGGATAGTTGTATCACTGCAATGAGCCAGATATAGTAGTTTGTTTTACTACAGGCAGTTTACCAGGCAGGTTGTGCCATATGGTACCTAATGAATTTAAGACAGTTCATTTTAATGCAGAAAGCTGATAAAAAGTGTTAATTTAATCTAGAAAAACCAAGAGAAGAACTTTAAAAATGCTCAAAACGTTGCATAGTTTTTCTTTAGTTATATAATCCTTGCAATTCTTTGGAGAGTCAGAAAGAGGGACTACTGGGTATAGAAAGTCTTTTGCAAAGGTACCCCTTTTGTACAGTACATAAAACTGAGATATATACCCATTGTTTATATTTTTAAAATCTATTTCTTTTGTTTTTGCAGTTCTGTTGAGTTGGAAGAATCAACAAGGTATCTGGACCATTAAGAAAAACAGATTTTGTAATTAGCTTTAAAATTAGGCCAGGCAACTTATTTCTCTGCAAATGATATTTGTAAACAGTACACATCCCATGGGTTGGTTTCTCACCTAACATCTCCTCACCTTCTGTGGTTTCAGTTCAGCCAGGAGATCATAGAAGAATTAGATAATGTGTTTAATGTGTCCCATTTTTAAAATTTTTATAAGTAAGCTTATGTTACACTTTATTAAATATTAACTTTTTGAGTCTGAAACACCCAAAAATTGTGTTGTTCTCCGTTAATGAATAAAGACAAATTGCTTTTCTCATCAGTATGTACCTAAAATATTAAAGGAGGAGAAAAGGAGTAATATAAATGTCAGAGTTACACAATATAATGTGTAGTACTTGACCAGCTTATCAAAATTGTGCACACTATTTGAACTAGTAAATGAATTTGCTCTTAATTACTGTGCTCACAAAGCCTCAGATCCCTGGATCTTGTGTCTGTGACTAACAGCAGTGATCATTTCTTGTATTTCTCATATATGTATATTACTTTTTTTTTTTTTTTTTGGTTTTTACGAGACAGGGTTTCTCTGTATTGTTTTGGAGGCTATCGGTCCAGCCTGGCCTCGAACTCACAGAGATCCGCCTGCCTATGCCTCCCGAGTGCTGGGATTAAAGGCGTGCGCCACCAACGCCTGGCCGTATATTACTATTTTTAATAGTTTTTTTTCTTTGAGAATTGACTTAATTGCAATCAGTTATTTGACTTTGCACTCTATTTTAATTTCACAGAATTCTGTTATAGTTTCTAGGCTTTTCACAAAGCCACTCACAGGCATACTTTTGGTGCCTTTTCCCCCATAGGAAGACATTCTGGGAAGGAAATGTCAGCATCTTAGTAGAGTTCCACCAGGCAGCAGACTGGACTTGCACTTGGGAATCTACTGACCAACGACTAAGCTGTGTTAACTGTGTTACTCATTAAGCTGTGCTCTTTGCATATGGAGGTCGCAAAAAGAAAAAGGAAAATCTTTTAGTTTGAAACTTTTGTGCTGACTTTTTTTCTTACATGATGATGTTGAGCCAACTGAAATGTAGGCTGTAGCAAATAGTTTTACAATACATATTTCACAATTAAGTTTTACCATTGTTTAAATGTGTCCTGCTTGTTTTGCCGGTAATAAGCAGTGGTTTTTACATAGCTTTCTTGATACGGATATTTGATACATATAGTAAAGGCCACTGTTGGCAAAGCTTACAACTTATATGCTTGCATCTGGCCGGATGTCTGTGTAAAGACCACTGCACAAGCTTTGCACTCTGCTCTGCAGATTGCTTGACATAACATAGAAAACACTTAAAGGTCCATGTTAAAAAAGATTGGTCCATGGGTAATTTCTGTCACTTTAAAAAATAAAGTACATTTTGGAAGAATTAGTTTAACAATAATAAAGTTAAAGTAGTCCCACTTTTAAGTGATCCATTTTAAAATTTGTAAATCAATAAATTTTTTTGTTGTTAAACATGTGTCATTTTATTTAGCTTTTGAAACTTTATTTAAAAGTTTTGTCTTCCTTTCCTCCCCCAACTATTAGCAGTACTCGTAGGTTCTCTTTTACTTAAACTTGGTCATACAGGTCATAACTGGTATTAAACGGTGGTTAGAGCTTGTCATTTTCTGCCCTTTGCCTGAACCCCTGGTGATGGAGAACAGTGGTTTTCAAGCACATGGTCTCAGTTTAGATGCACATACTTACACATGTGACTTTCTATAAGAATGCTGGAATCATTCTTGGGGATCTTATGATTATTTCCTAGACAGAGTAACTGAAGTGAACACGGGGAAAGTGACATGGACAAATACATTTGCATATGATGAAGAGCCATACCATTATGCAAAGAGAAAGTAACAACCTCGATCTTGCCTCTCAGAGTGCTGGTGAACATTGATTTATACATTTTGATAGACCATGACAAAAATTCTGAAATATTTATATAAGCTCAAACATCCAAACCTGTATGTATAATTTAGAAATGAGAAGTATTTGAGGTAGTAACAAAATGCAAAAGAAATCAGCACCAACCCCAGCACTAAACAGTCTGGTCTACATGGCAAGTTCCAGGCCACCCTGGGCTATGAAGAGAGACTCTGCTTCAGAGAGAGGGACGGGGCAGTAAAAGAGGAAAACTGAAAGTATGATTTGGGGATTTTATTTCAAAATAAAACCAAGTGAAGGGTTGTCATTTGAGAAGTGTTTTGTTTTTGTTGTTTCCTTTGAGACAGGGTCTCTGTAGCTCTTGCTGTCCTGGCTGGTCTCAAACTCACAGAGGTCCACCTGCCTTGACCTCTCCAAGTACAGGGATTAAAGGTGTGTACCACTATTCCCAGCTTCATTTGAGAAGGTTTTTTTTTTTTTTTAATTATTTGTTTGTGTTTTCCTTACATTACTGTATCCCCTGTATGTTTGTCTGTGAGGGTCTCAGATCCCCTGGAACAGGAGTTACAGACAGCTGTGAGCTGCCATGTGGGTGCTGGGAATTGGGCCTGGGTCCTATGGAAGAGAAACCAGTGCTCTTAACCATTGAGTCATTTCTCCAGCCCCCCTCATTTGAGAAGTTTTAATAACAAATATCCCCTGACTCTTACCTGTATTTAGCCAGGGGAAATTAATCATTTGAGAGAAATTGAGATGCATGCTTTTAATCTGAGTGTTTAGGAGGCAGAGACGTCAGGAGCTCATCCATTGTTACATAAAGAGTCCAAAGCCAACCTGAGCTTGAGACCCTATCTCCAAAAATGGCTAAAAATAAAGGAGTGTCCCACCAGGAAATGTGATACACTCATTAGTGGTCAGGTTCCGAAAGGTGAACACTACATATGGAGAAATAAGCACAGTGCCAAGCCCACTAAAGTTCCTAGACAGTAACAGGAAAATAACTGATGTGTGTTGAGCAGAGTGTTGAGTGACGAACATCCCAAGACCATGACTGTCTCCAGTGACCAGTAGTTGTTGGAGCAGATTTGTTTCTGTGTCTTTGCAACTAGAATTCCTGATCACAAAGTAGGACTTCCTGAAAGGATTTTAATTGTCATAGTAGTGGCAGTGTGTAGAAATTAGGTATAGATTTTAAGTGTTCTATGGATTGGGAATCTGAGAACTACTGGTTGAGTAATTTTTTAGACACCCAACTTTAAAGGAATAAAATGAGCTTGAGTCTAGGGGCAAGTAATCCATTTTTGGTGCTTTGATTCTACAAAGTGATGCAGTAATATTATTATCCAAGTTTTGGGTTTTTTCCAGTTCAACTGTACATTGTGTCCAACTAGAGTACAGAAAATAAAAACACAGGAAATTGTCTTGAATGAGTCACCTGTTCTGGTGACCTCAAAGCTAGAGGCACATGAGTGACACACTGACAGAATTAACCTGGGTTTTGTCCTTATCTGGATACTTGAACCTGCTTGCTTTGAAAATTATTTGTGTAATAATGCATTGTGAAACTTAGTTGACATTTGGAAAAGTAAAAAAAAACTATTGAGAACCCTAGAGTTGGCATGACAAGGCCCTACCTTTAATTCATTGGCATTGGTTCCTATGCATTTTTCTGGTTTATTTAAGGCATCAGTAACCCTCACGGGTTTTATTCAGTGTGTCTCACCCCATGCCACTATATTGAGATTGCTGAAAAACAGTGATGACTAAGCCAATGTGAGCTTTTATCTAGGGATCCTTGCTTTTGCCTTTTGCCAAGAAAATTCAGCCTTTAGTGATGAAGCAGCAGGAAGCTGAGAATGCCAGGAAGTTGAGGCCAGGAGCATGGAATTAGAGCTTCTGTAGACTTCCTTCTAATATAAGTCCACATAAGTTTCTGTCAAAGTAACTTAAAAATGAGTATTTCAGCTTAATAAAAGAACATGGGGGTGGGGCTGAGGTGATGGCTCAGTGTGTAAAATTACTTGCTGCTCTTCTAGAGGGCCCATGTTTGATTCCCAGCACCTACACTGGGTGGTAGCTCACAATTGCCTATAACTCTAACACAGTCTAGGGCACCTATCACCCTCTTCTAGCCTCTACAAGTACCTTTGTGCACACTATCGAAGTAACTCACCCAACAGTATGCATGCACACACACAAATCTTAACATGCTGAGCACACTGTTGGTTATGTATTGAGAATAAGGGAAAATGCATAAGAAGACCTGTAAGGTGGTAACCAGTGAGTACAGTGCCAAAAACAAAATAAAGCCAAAATGAAAGAGTAACTACTACTGAAAGGTTTGTAAATAAGGTTTATATTTGTATCTAAGACAGAGGCTGAGTGATGGCCCAGCAGTTGCCTGGTCTTTCAGCCCATCCAGATTTGAGTCTCAGCATCCACATGGCCATTAGCTGCCTGTAACCCCAGTTCAGAGGGATCTGACTTGCTTCTCTGGCCTCCGAGGATACTGCATATTAATAGAACATAGTCATGTGCACGAAAGAGCCATATACATGAGTAAATTTTTAGGTTAATTTATTTTTGAGGTTGTGGAGATTCACAAAGATAAAGGTGGTTATTTTAGAATATAATGAATTCTTTTGGTCTGAGTGGAATAGTCCTTTTTCTACCCTGAGACAGTGTCAGCAAACCTTAGATAGAATATGTATGTTTTTGACTAGACTCATTGCTTTAGCTGCTATAAATGTCCTGCTTAGCCACATGTTACAATTTTTGGCTGGAGAACTATGCTCGTTTGAATGAGAATGGCTTCCGTAGGCTAATACGTTTTGAATGCTTGGTCCACAGTTGGTGAACCTGTTTGGGAAGGATTAAGTGGTGTGGCCCTGTTAGAAGAGATAAGTCACTGGGGCTGGGCTTTGAAGTTTCAAAAAATACATGCCATTCCCTTGAACCTTATCTGCCCAGGGCTTGTGGATCAAGACGTGGACCCACAAATACTGCTTTACTCCCATGCCTACTTTCCTGCTGCCATGGTCCCTGCCTGTAGGCATCTGGTCTGTGGACCTGAAACGGTGGCCACACCCCTTTGCATGTGTCTTCAGGGAGATTGAAGCTGAAAGAGAGGAGCTTGAGGCGTGGCTTCCTTTTGTGTGCTTTCTGTTGGGTCAACAGATCTGGTAGGAAGAGCAGGGAAACACTCCAGTGGTTCTTTGTGATTTTCTGTGTAATTGTCCCCAATAAAGACCCATTTATCATTTATCTTGGGTTAAGTGATATAATTACATCTTCGCCTTCTATTGGCACCCAACATTTGCTTGGGTAAGTCCCCAAGATCGCCTTATGACTGGCTGTACATTTTGCAGTTTGCTCTGGCTACTGAGTTGGCTGCACAGTTTTGTGGCCTGTGGCAGAGGGGTGGGGGTGGGGGGTACCAGTACTTTGCTGTGCCTTTTGAATACCTTGGATTTGCAGGCACACATTTGTGGAAAGTAGCCCAAGGCATTGAGTCCCAGCAGTTTTTCTTCCACTTGATTTACATGCCTAGTGGCAAGGTTCCCTACAAGCCAAAAATCACCCAGATCTCCACAGTTCAGGAATCTACTTAGGGTAAATTAACTACCCATAGCAATGACAGATAATAGTATAATAGAGGAAGTGAAAAACCTTTTGGTTTCATATATGGATGGGATCTTATAAGAGGTTTACGACCTACCTGGAATACATACATTATTCATGGTGGCAATTAGCTTCATAATCCATATACTATCCTTAAAGAAATGATTGGACAGTAGAGCTAAGAATAAGGAACTTACAGAAACCATACAAATTTTTCAGACTGATAATGAGACCTTAGTAAAAAGGATTCATACTATTGAAAATACTTTACAGACTAATACTGAGAGCTTAGAAAAAAGGATTCATTACATTGAAAAACGACAGTGGTTATTTAACAAAACAATGCAAAATATAGAACATAAAGCTGACCAGCTAGCAAAAAAAAATTGTTCCATGTCTGATGATTTGACAAACAGAATGCAAAGAATGGAACATAAGATTGAAATACTAACAAATAATTTGTTCCCTGTCTGAGACTAATGACAAGCTAGAGATAGAACATTGTTTTTGGATGGCAAATTACATGCTATTTAGATAATCTCTAAGGATGAGAATATTAAATCTTTAGAATCATACATGAAGAGAACAAGAAACTGACTGATTTAATGAAGTCCCTAGAAATTTATATTGTCCAGGAGATTCAAATACTCAGAGAAACAATGGTGAATAGATTTCAGGCCATAGAACACCTTCAGGCTGATACACCAGAATTGGAGGTACAAATCATAGAGAATGAAAATGATTTAACATTACCAGTATCTTTTAGAGTCAGGGATGACCTACAAAAGGTCATTACATCATCCTCTATGGTTTACTCCGTTATGGTCACTGAAACACCAGCAACTAAAAGACACCCAAAAGGATTTGTTGAATGTCACTGGGAGCCAATACATTTGAAAGATTTAAAAGCTATAAAGCAAGTGGTAGCCTCTTATGGCATGCGTTCATATATGTGAGGCAATTAG